TTTTCATGAAAGGAAGAAAATCTTTGAAGCAGTTGATGAGATGGCACTAGTGTTGTCCAAAACTAAAAGGAACAAGTGAAATGAATGCTCAGCAGGTGTACTCAGAATGCTTTCATACTGTATTCCCCCCAAAGTAAGACCGGTCTTACATTCATTCCTCTTTGCCTCATAAGACACAGTAGGGCACAGTGTTTTCAGGAGCTGTCTCAATTTTTGACTTGCGACAGCCTGCTTTTGTGAAGGTGTGTTCGGTCGTGTTGCCTTCTGGGACATCCTTCGTGACCTCTCCCACCCTGAGTTCAGGCCTGAATTTGTGGATACTCTGGAAAAGCTCCCTGGGATGGCATGGCTCGACCCACTCCGAGCTGGTGGCACAGTGGCAGGATCTGTCCCGAGAATTCTTGGCTCCTGCCCTGCCGTAGTGCAGGGCAGCTTCCCAGAGCCTCTGTGCACCCAGGCTGTGGAGGCTAGCGCAGGCTTCGGGACAGGCTGGGCAGCCAGGGTGGCGACAGTGAAGTACGGTGGCTGGCATGGGCCATGGAGCTCGGGAATGTTTCCTTCCCATGCATGCAGTCAGCGCCCGCTTGTTCTGAAGCTTCGCAGGGACACGGTTGGGTCTTACTCTGGCAGATATTTAATGCAGTAGCTTCACAGTCTCACTGATACTGAAAGGCTCCCAGTTTTTTGGTTTGGTTTCTTAATAGATGTGAGCAAAGTTCTGCTTCTAGAGGTTCGGATTCAACATCTGAAGCAAGGTGAGGCTCGTTCCTGGGCTTGTCGAGGATGATGTTGAGGGTGGATGGACCCGAAGGCCAGGAGGCCAAGGCATTTGCAGGGCCCCTGCTCAGTGTGCTGTGCTGTCATCTGGGCGCAAAGGATGGGCTGAGGGCGGTGGGGGGTCGGCAGGGTTGGGCTGCTGCTCTAGCTGCAGGTCCCATGTCACCACCCCTTAGTCCATGACACTGGTCCCCCCAGGCCCATCCTGAGGGGTCCTGAGGACTTGGCCTTGGCTTCTAGCAAGGTGCGAATGAGGCTTGACTGAAACTTCTTAGCTGGTTTTTGGCAGTGGTGGTTGTTATTAGAGTCTAAATTTACCCTGGGCAAATAAAACCAGAGAGGGGAGGAGAGGAGAGAGAAGAGGGATGGGGAAGGGAGGGGAAAACTCCAGTGTAGACCCTGGCCTAATACTGGGTGCCAACAGCTTTCAATTTCCTGTGTCTCGCCTATCACAGCTGGGCTAAATTTGTTGTTGAGATATTTAAAAGAAGGCCCTGAGGTGTTTGACAGTTGCTCAGCTGTAAGGTACTGGGTAGATGTGTCCAGTGCCTTTGTGTCTGGTGAGGTTTTGCCGCACTCCTTGCTAAACTGTTGGAGCCCTGAGCCCCAGGCTCCCAGCACTGGGCGTCACTTACACAGTATCAGCGCGCCTTGATCTTCAGACAGCTGTCCCTGCTTCTGGCCCCATGGGTGCCCTGTGCTCTCCATTTCCATGGCTGCCACCCATGTCCTCTGGGCTCCTCTTCTGTCCCTCTGTCCACACCACCCAGCCTGGGCACACCCGGCCCCAGCCACACGCAGTGCAGACCTAGCGCTGTGACCCAATGCTTTGAGCTGGAGGCTTGTTGGTTACTGTGACGGTTTTTTTGCTCTTGTTTTAAACTGGAAGATCTCTATTTTGTGTAACTGGGATGTAAGTGTGTGTGTGTGTGTGTGTGTGTTTTGTGTGTTGAGAATTTAAATATAACTTCAAATGAAAAAACGCATGTCTTGCTAATACCCAGTTTTAATTTTTCTTTGCAGGTCAACTTTGTAGTGTGCCAACTCTTTGCCTTGTTAGCTGCTGTTTGGTTTCGAACTTATCTACATTCAAGCAAAACTAGTTCTTTTATAAGACATGTAGTTGCTACCCTTTTGGGCCTTTACCTTGCATTTTTTTGCTTTGGATGGTAAGTAATGATTTTGATCGTGTTTGAATGAAGACTTGAATTTTTTTTTTTTTTTTTCATTTTTATCAGTACCGGGGATCGAACTCACGACCGCCTGCTTGCAAGGCAGGTGCTTATGCCGCTGAGCTAAATCCCCAGCCCCAAGACTTGGATATATTTAAGAACTGAGTGTATAGAAAGATGTATTATGCAGGATTCTGTTCTTCAGTTTACTTACTACTCAAAGCCAACGTTTAAAGTACTTTTAACCGTAAAACAGAGGCTGGCAAGGAGATGCCCCTGGCTTGGTCTTGGAGAGGATTCACATTTATTTCAGTGAGTCCTGGCCGGCACTGCACAGCGGTCAGTCTGGATTTTTCTTTTAACCTCACTTCCCTTTGTGTCTTGGGGAGAATTGGTTTATCATTTATGAAAAAGGACTGGTGAAAGAAGGACCTATAAAGACCTGTTAACCCGCCCCGAGTAGTTCTTTTCACCAATTTTGCAAACCTGGATTGCCGAGACATAAAAGATTTTATTTTAAATGTGGTTTTCAAAACTCACTTTGGTTTTGGTTCTTCCTCTGCAAGTGGTTTTTAAGGGCCTGGCAAAGGCTGTGGATATGTGTGTTTAGCTTCTCCTGTTAGCGGGGAAAGAAAGATTTCTGTGCATTGTTGTGGGGATAGACAGAGAGCAGGCAGCATGGTCCCGGGCAGACGGGACCTTTCCCTGCTGGTGGGGGTTACTAGGGGGCACGAGGCTGCCAGTGCTGCATGGGGACCCAGATGCCCTCTGCAGCCGTGGCTGGGATGCAAGGTCCAGTAGGGAGGAGCTCTGTCTGCTCTATCCATCTCCGTAGCTACTGTTGGAGCTTGCAGGGCCCTGATAAGGGGCTGTGTTCCTGCCAGGGTTGTCTACACTGAGGGGGGGGGGGGGTGAGAAGAGAAGTGGGAGGAGGGGGAGGGCCAGACACACACTGTCTTTCTTCAGGGCCAGGGATCAAATCCAGGCTTCCTGCAGGCTGGGCAAGCGTTCCACTGAGCCACTGGCCCCTGGAGCCAATCTTGTCTTGATTTTTTTCTTTTCTTTCTTTGTTGGTTGTTGGTTTTTGAGACAGGGTCTTGCTCTATACTTCAGGCTGGCCTTGAACTGTGTAGCTAGTCTATGTTGGCCTCTAACTTGTGGTAATCCTCCTGCCTCAGCCTCTTGCTCCAGTGCCTCCAAGGTGCCCTCACCTAGGGGCTGTTATTTACCCTTCCTAACTTTCCTCCTCCCTCTAATGGAGCCCATCAGGCAGACCAGCAGTGCAGGGTTTTGGTGCTTGGATGGAGGTGTCTCAGGCTTTGAGTTTTCTGGACTTGGGAGTGTTCTCGTAGACTTCCCTAGGGAACATCTCTCACCTGCCAGCTGCAACCCAGCAGGCCCTCTTAGGCTGGTCATCCACTGGGCTCGCCCATCTGGTGTTTGCCCCAGCGGCCGAGTACGATGCTTCTTCTTGTGTCTCTGTAGCTAATGTCTCCCCGGAGTGTGGTATGGGGTTTTCAGGAAGCAGACACCGGTGCTGGGCAGTGGATCTGTGGTACAGCCCCTGTCCAGTGTACCCGGGGCCAGGGTACACTGGCCCTGACCAAAAGAGACATTGGCGGGGGAGGAGCTGAACAATCAGAACTAAAATGTGTACTCTGTCTCACTAAAAATTAATTTTGCGCCTGTCTTTACTGTGATTTGGAATCAAAGTAAACTGAGTTCTCTAAAAATAAATGGAAATTAGGGGATGGAGCAGGGTTTTGGTTTTGGAGTGTTGGATCAGTGCTCTGGGAGCTCACATGGCCCACATCCTGCACCCCAACCCTGCCCCCTGCTCCTCTCCCAGCCTCTGAAAGGAGGAAAGGAGCAGTGGCTGAGGGGGATGGTGCCCGGGGTGCCCTCTCTCTGCTTTCTACTTTACTGACATGGTTGGGAGCTTACTGCCCCGGGGTGAGCCGGGCCTTGCAAAGCCCTCCAACGCCCCTCAGGACATTGGAGTGGAGCCATGACCCAGTGGAGCTGTGGGTGCTTGTCGCCAAGCAGATGGAGCAGAGAATGTGGATAGGACCCCGCCCCCGCCGATAAGCTCAGGCCTGGTGCCTCAGATAGGGGTTCCGTCCAGTGGGCTGCTGTAGATGTTGCCCCACCCACGGGATTGCAGGGCCTGTTGTCACCTGTGTCTGAGCCAGGGGACACCATGCCCTGCATGGCCCCCTGGCAACGGGGAAGCACACCTATCAGGACCTGCTCTGCCCTGGGGCTCTGTTCCTAGCACATTTACCCACAGCAAAGGAAAAAGACAAATTTCCTGAGTACTAATAATGCTTTTCTTCTTTAACGTGAATACAGTTTGGGGTTCTTCTCGGTTTTAAAAGCCCTGAAAGTGTCTTGCCAATTCCCCTCAACAGTCCCAGTGAGTCTGCAGTCAGCTCTTACCATCAGCAATAAATAGGTAATGGAAAAGTACTTCTGAAAAGTGTGTTTCCACTGGGTTTTGTTTGTTTTGTTTTTGAGACAAGATCTCACTGTATAGTTCAGGCTGATGTTGAGCTCACTGTGTAGTCTAGAGTGACTTTACAATCTGAGTGATCCTCCTGCCTCAGCCTCTTGAGTGTGGAGATTACAGATAGGAGCTTCCATGGCTGGCTTCAGTTTTTTTTTTAAAGCTCCCTGCTGGTTCCATCGTGTGTGGCTTCTCTGCTCTCTCCCAACTGTCTTATTACAGAGGAACTGTGAGCCAGGAAGGCTGCGGGAGGCATCCGGCCTGCCCTGCCCTGCCCTGTGGGCATCTCTCCAGGTTGATTTCAATTCCAGATGTCCTGGTCATATTTTGCCTGAATTTTGTGAACTGGATAAATTTGTTTTCTCTTTAAGGGTTGATTTCTGCATTAGGACTTTAAAAATTACTGGAGCCTAGACGCCAAGAATGTCTCAGCAATGCCTCTTAGCAGGTTAATGCATGACTAGGTTCTAGAAGAAAGTTTGTTTGGCTTGAGAACAGAGTTGGGAAGACCCTCTTTTTTTTTTTTTTTTTTTTTTGAGGTTAAAATACTTCGTCCTTGCTGTTGTTTTGTGAGTAATATTGTTAAGATAAAAGCAGAGCACCATGCTGTAGATGAAGTTAGTTTGGCAAATAACATGCTTCCCAGGACTTTGCTGAAATCCGGTTTGTTACTCCTTTGTCTTGCCCTTGTGCTTTGAGTTATGAAGAACACAGTAATCCCTGAGCCGCGTAGACCCTGCACCTTCTGTTCCTAGGTGACAGAGATGCTGAGGCACTGCATGTGACATATTTTCTTGGCCCTCCTCAGGCATGGGTCCTGTGTCTGGCATTCTCCCTCTAAGGCATTCCCAGACTTTTATTTATCCTGTACAATTTTATTTTCTGTCTTTAGATTTTTTGAGAAGGTGTAGTTCGGGCTGACCTTGAACTCACAGAGATCCTCCTGCCTCAACTTCCCTGAGTGCAGGGATTGCAGGCATAGACCACCATGCCTACCTCCTTTTGTTCCTTATTTTCTAGGTAGATATATTCTAGTTTGTACTTGAATACTTTTTAGTCTAAATTATTTGAATTCAATGTTGGTGACTTCTGAAATCATTTGTGTTTTTGTAGGTATGCCTTACATTTTCTTGTACAGAGTGGGATTTCCTACTGCATCATGATCATCATAGGAGTGGGGAGCATGCACAAGTGAGTACCCCGGTCCTCACACATGGGTGGGTTCTGATTTGATGGAATTGGATCAGAGCTGGGTGTGGTAGTACACACTCAGGAGCCTGAAGCAGGAGAATCACTGTGAGTCCGAGGCCAGTCTGGGCCACTTAGAGAGGCCCTGTCTCAAAAAGCAAAACTAAATAAGTAAAAGTGAATGGACACTAAGAACCCTCAATGTGAGGAAATGAGTTTTATTTTGGCTCAAGTTTTAGTCTGTGGCTGGCAGGCTCTCTCTAAATTTAGCAATTTTCTAAAAAATGCTACAGGTTGCCTTTTCTAAGAAAGTTTCGCCTGCCCTAAGGCTGTTAATATTTTCTGGTAGAAGTTTTATAGTTTTAGTTGTTATGCATTCACCACGATCCATACTGAGTTAATTGTTGCTTTCGAGAGCGAGTCTTGCTGTGTATCCAGGCTGGCCTTGAAGTCACAGCAGTTCTCCTGCCTCAGCCTCCTAAGTGCTGGGATCACTGGTTGTGAGTGTGCACCACCACCATACCCAGCTTTTGAGTTGGCTTTTATGTGTGTCACGATGTTTCTTCATGATGATTCAGTTTCTTCTCCATGTGCGTCTGGCTGTCTCAGCATGACTTACTGCAGATGCCATCTTCGTCCTGTTATAACCCGTCTGTGTGTTTCTAGTTCATTAACTCCCATTGCCCCCGAGCAGCGTGACTTTCCCTGCACAGTTTGCCTTCCGTGTCGAGTGCCACAGTGAAATACATATTTCAGGTCCAGTTTCACCTTCTGAAATCAGGTGTGGGAAACCAGTTCAGCGTTGGTGTTTTTAATGAGTAAGAAAATGGACTGTGTTATTTTGCACATTGTGATATCAGTAGTGGCAGTGTCAGGGTGCTTCTGGCTGTGAAGAGCAGAAATCCTCTCTGGGTGGTAGGATGGTGTGAACAGGAGGGAGAGCGTTCCTGCTCTGAGGTAGAAGTCAAGCCACGTGTGTGACACACACCTGTAATCCCAGCACTTGGGAGGCTGAAGCAGGAAGATCTCTGAGAGTTCAGAGTCATCTTGGGCTATGAGTTACCTCAAGGCTAGGCTGGAGCCCATGGTGAGACCCTGTCTCAAAAACAAACAAACAAACAAATAAAATGATCTTCTCTTTTCACCAAAGCAGCTTACTTTTGTTTTCCAGATACTGTTTCATCTTTGCTCTGGGGTACCTCACAGTCTGCCAAATCACCAGAGTCTACATCTTCGATTATGGACAGTATTCTGCAGATTTTTCAGGGTAAGATTGAAACCGTGATTCAGGAGCCTGTTTCATCGGTTTTAACAAAATATAGGCAGGTCAGAAGCCCAGCCAAAGCCGTTCTTCCATTTTAGCTCGGAACTTCTTCGTGAGTTCAGATTTTTTCTGTCTTGTTATTGGTTATTTATAATAATGTGTGTCACAAAAGTAACCTGTGCCTTTAAATTGTCTTATATAAGATTTCTAAAAAATGTAGTAATTACACCTCTCTATGGCATTCTGGTATTGAGAGCATTTTCTAATTCTGGTAGAGATTTCAGCAATTATTTATGATTATTGAAGACAGCACACGAGCCTCCATTCTTCCTGCCCTCCTCTCTCTTCCTCCCTCCCTCTGTCCCTGTCTCTGTGTCTCTCACTGTCTCTCTCCACCTGTGGTGGGAGAGTGCTATACCCCATTGCTCTGAAGGGTTCTCTTCTTCTCTGGTGCCAGCCATTCTCTTTCCTTTGGTCACTGTCGTGTCCTGGCCAGCTCAGTGCACGTCCTTGACTCTGACTGCCCCTGTCCACCCTACTGCCCAGAAAGGCACATGGCTTTGGTCTCAGGCGCTGCTTTTTCTGGAAGCATCCGCTGGATATTTCCAGCTGGAAGTAACAGGAAGTGGAGCAGCAGGACTCCGGCTGCCTCGGCCCATAGGCTACTGGTCTGTGTTCTGGCCAAAAAGCGATATTACTAGCAGCACTGGCCTTGAGGATGCCCTGTCATTGCTGTGGGTGTTTAAACAAAACTGTCCCATCGGTGGCAGTTTTAACTTTCACTGTTTAAAATATTTACCTTTTGTCTTGTCACAGCCCGATGATGATCATTACTCAGAAGATCACGAGTTTGGCCTTTGAAATCCACGATGGTAAGAATTCTGAAATTAGCTTTTCTGTCCAGACCATGTGTTGCTTGAGGTGCCCTGCAGCTTTGTACTCTGTAACACTTGTAAAGGAAGGAAGGATCTTTTCTTCTTCTTCCTTTCCCGGCTGACAAGTAGAAGAATTAATAACTACCTCAGTTTGCAGAGAATGGAGGAAAAGTCCATACCTTTAAAAAATCTCTGGAACTTGTCTAGAGTCTGGCATGGCACTGTGCGCCTGTGAATGCAGTACTGGGGTGGCTGAGGCAGGAAGATGCCTATGAAGCCAAGGCCAGACTGGATCACATACCAAGTACCTGTCCAAAACACCATATCAGGAAGGCTTGGGAGTTCGCCTCAGCGAGGGTGGGCGTGAGCAGCCCCCGCCTCCATGCACTGGGGGCGGGAGCTCTCGCAGGACTCCCTCGAGGTGCATCACCTACAGGCTGGGAGCAAGTGTGCCCCTCTGTGAGCTCACAGGATGTCTGCCTGGAGGCCTCTTCACAGGTGGCCAGGGCCAGGTGGTCCTGGCGCTGAGCTGTAATAGGGACCTTGCTCTGTGAAGTACAGGGGGAAGGTGTGATCATCTCTGGGGGCTGAGACCCTGCATAGCGCCCAGGGCCCTGTCCTGGGTGTGGCTGCTGACCACGGAGAGCCCACCTCGACCAAAGTCCAGCCAGATTTGGCCCCCGACTTCCCCAGTGGCGCTACGGGAGCTGTGGGTTTAGAACATTTTGGGCTTTGATCAGCCTTGGCAGAGTCTTTCAGAATTCCAGCCTTTAAGTTTTTTAGACAAGTTATTATTATTTTTTTTCTTTCATTTTGATCTTTGAGACAGGGTCTTGCTGTGGATTGCAGGCTGCCCTCAAACTCACTACGTAGCCCAGGCCAGTCTTGAATTTGTGGCCATCCTCCTGCCTCAGCCTCCCAAATGCCGGCATTACAGGCATGCGCCACCACTCTCAGCTGACTTGGGGAACTTTTTAAGCATAATTTGAGACTTCTCACCTGGTTCTGGACCTGTGACGGTGTGCTGGGCCTCAGTCTCGGGCAGCATCGTTGACATGGTGTTTGTGCCTGATAAGAGTGTGGAGTTCTGTTTCCCCTCATGCAAGGCTGCAAAAAATACTAGCTTTAAAAAACAGCATCTCAGGGGCTGGGGATTTAGCTCAGCGGCATAAGCGCCTGCCTTGCAAGCAGGCAGTCATGAGTAAAGGAAAAAGACCCAAAAAAAAAACAGTATCTCATGGCCAGGCATTGTGGTGCAAACGCCTCTAAATCCCAGCACTCAGGAGGCTGAGGCAGGAGAGACCTTGCTAACACTAAACAAAACAAAAGCCAACAACAGCACCACCCAGTGGCATCTCATCAGTCATCTAGTCTTGGTTACTCTATTCCTGGTTCCTTGGGGTTAGGGTTAACCCAGAGGTCCTGGGCCTGTTGGGCATGTAGTTTAAACCCAAAACTGCATGGAAATCCATCCACCCTGTGTGGCTCAGGCGATTTGCAGTTGTGAAATGGCCCAACCTGTGTGATCAGCTCAGAGCTGCTATGGGAAGCAATGTGCACTAAGCATCGAGCACCAAGTGTCCAGAAGAGGAGAGCCAGCATTTCACAGGTAGCAGAGCTCACAGTGGTAGTGGCGGTGGGTGCCAGAGCATCTACCAAGTGCAGCACCCACCAAGCCACAGAGAACACAGGTCCAGGGTGGAGGTGCCTATGTCCCGCCCAGGCTTGGGGGCCACTCGCGCTTGCTCCAGGGGTCTGAGTGTCCCCTCTTGCTTCCCAGGATGACTGGGCAGTGATCCCAGACCCTCGCTGCTGGGGACCTGGCTTGCTTTGCACCACGTGTGAGGCCGTGAGAGTCCTCGACCCAGATGGCAGCTCTCACTGTGACCTCCGCTGAGGGTTGGGCTAAGACTGGGTTTGTGGCTTGGTTTCTGGAGGATCACGTGACCCCTCTCAGTGCTCCACTGAGTTATTTGTTAGTTCCTTTCTCTCCTGTAGCATGTAAAGGGTTTATGTTTCCATCATTCCATGAACGGTTCCTGGGGACAATTTTCTTGCTGGGGGAAACAAGGTCTTGGTGTTGAACTCGCTGTATAGCCCAGAATGGCCCCGAACTCAGGGTGCGTCCTGCATCAACCTCCTAAGTGCTGGGATTCCAGAAGTGCAATGCCATGCCTGGCTCCTGGGGATGTTCAGAGGCCATAGTGGCATTCATTTCTGTTTTGTGTGCATATAAAATACAGAAAACTGTCTGTCCAGCAGGCGAGCCTGGGCTTTATGAATGGGGCCATTTAAAGTCATGTGTCTCATCCTTTTATTCACGTTTCTTAATAACTAATGTTTTCATTCTCCATTAAATTAGTAAATTTTTAAAATTAGTATTTATATGTTAATTGGATCCTTGTATTTCTTTCTTTCTTTTTTTTTGTCTCTTTGAGACAGGGTCTCTCTATGCAGTTTGGGCTGGCCTTGAGCTCAATTTGTAGCCTAGGCTGGCCTCAAACTTGCAACAATCCTCTTGCCTCAGTCTCCTGAGTGCTGGGATTACAGGTGTGAGCAACTACATCTGGCTTGATCCTTGTATTTTTTTAATGGTTTTTGGTGTTTCTGTTTTTGTCTCTCGATGTATTGTTGTCGAAGTGTGAATATATAGCCTAGGCTGACCCTGAACTCAGTGTGGAGCCCAGGCTGGCTTCAAACTCACAGCCATCGTCCTGCCTCAGCCTCCTTAGTGCTGGGATTACAGGCATGTGCCACCACATTCAGCTCTCAGTGTTTCTTAAATTGCATTAGGTTTTGTTTTTTGCTGTGGGGTATTAATGTTTTATTTGCTGCAGATATTTTGAGTATGCTCTTTGCTTCTTGATTTAGTTATTCTTCACATTGGATGGAAGGTTGTTTTTTTTTTTTTTTGGTGCTGGGAACTGAATTCAGGACCTTGCACTTGCCAGGCAGGTGCTTATGCCTCCGAGCTAAATCCCCAGCCCTAGGATGAGGATGTGTTTTTAAAAGCAAATGGATTAAGAAGGCTGGCACCTGGCTCTGTGCATGACCTTCTGCAGTGGGGGAAGGCTGTCAGTACTCGCTTTATACCCAACTTGTCCGAATTACTGGTGTTTAGTCATTCAAAAAGCTAAAAAAAAAAATTCATAATAGGACTTTTTGAAAAGTCATAGCCTTGGGGCTGAGGATTTAGCTCAGCAGCATAAGTGCCTGCCTTGCAAGCGTGTGGTCATGAGTTCGATCCCTGGTACTGGTAAAAAAAAAAAAAAGAAAAGTCATAGCCTTTACTGTTAAGGAAGATAAATTTGTGAATTGAGAAAAACGACTGGCAGCCAGGTGTGTTGGTACACACCTATAATCTGAGCACCCTGGGAGGTTGAGGCAGGAGGATTGCAAATGGGATCCCAGCCTGGGGAACCCAGCAAGTAGTGAATGAAAACAAAATAAAAAATAGCAACAAAAAAAGATATAGGGATAATAACATAAAAAGAACAAAAGATGCTGGGTGCAGCTCAGGCCCCAGGTTCAAGCCCCAGTGCTGAGCGAGGGGACTAGCTGCCGTCCTATGAACAGTTGAGGTTGACCAGTGCACCTGACTGGGTTTGCAGGGATGTTCCGGAAGGATGAAGACCTGACCCCATCGCAGCGAGATCTTGCCGTAAGGTAGGTGACGCCGTCTTGGACCTGCCCTGGCTCTGGACCACATTGCCCATTGCATCCATAGCTGAGTCTTCCAGGGTGCTAAGCTTGTGAGCCTCAAGCCATCTTCTTCTTCCACCTCTCTGCCACCAGTTTTCTGTGACAGCTTCTCACTGTATGTAGCCCAGATGGGCCTTGCACTTAGGGGAACCCTCCTGTCTCAGCCTCCTGAGTGCTGGATTTAAGGTGTCAGGCCGTCTTGTCTTTGCCAACAAATCTTGCTGTGCGAGGCTGGGTGTCTCTTGTGGGGCCCCAGAGTCTTGCCTGGGTCCTTAGACACAGGGTCCCCTCTGGGGGCCACCAGGCAGTCCACCAGAGTTCTGTCTTGGAGACTCAATTTGCTAGAAGGTGGGAAGCTAGCATATCCACCTGGTGGAAGTGACAGCAGGCGAAGCCTTGGGTGTGGGCCCCGCTTGTGACAGCTGCTGAGCCAGCAGCACACCGATACCCTGTTTAAGATACTGGAGGACCAGGCAGATACTGCTGCCTGCTCTTTGAGGGTCCGTTCTGAGACAGGCTTCCCCCTGAGAGTAGCCCTGGTTTACTCCTGGTCTCAGCCCAGTGTGATTAGAGATCATATACTCATTACACTCAAAGAAACCTCTCCTTCCAGTGTCTTGTTCAGTACAGAATCAATAATCACACAGCTGCTGGAAGGAGGGAATCCTAAACAAGTAGGTAGGCCTGGACCCATTGTTTTCCTTTGATCCCAGCTAGCAGGTCTCCGGAATCTTCTTACATTTTCTCTTTCTTGAAAAATACTCTATTTTTGACTTGGGCCTGGTGGTGCACGCCTTTAATTCCAGCACTCAGGAGGTTGAGGCAGGAGTTAACTGCCTCAAACTGCCAGTTCAAAACCAGTCTGAGCTACACAGATTCCGCCTCAAAAACCCAAATTAAAAGAATGCTGTCTTGCCCTTGTAACTCTGATACATCGTTGGACTCGTTGAGAGTAGGCCCTGCGGCGTAGCCTGACCTTGATTCAGGCTGGACATAATTGCTGTTCACAGTGGGGCTGGGCTTCTTGGGGACAAGGGCTGCATTGTACCCCCGACCGTCCGGGCACCAGGCCGTGCTGAGGAGGAGGAGACCTGCCAGCAACATGGTCCCTCCCTTGGCTTCAAGGCTAAAAGGAACAAGTCTGAGACCCAGGGCACCTCCACATAGGAAAAATGATTCTGGAAAACTCAGAACCCTCCTGGCTCAGCATTTTGGTAGACAGTAGTCGAGGGCAGGGCATGGGCGCTGTTCTGGTTGTTTTAGAATCAGATTAATGGCCAGGGACACGTGGGAGTCTCAGCTTCTCTCCCTGCAGCATTTTCAAGCAGAGTGGAGCTTGGCCAGAAGGAGGACAGGCTAGTGCCCTGCTTGCCCGTCTCAGGAGGGGCAGCAGCAGTGGGCAGGGGTGGTGGTATTGGTTAAGGGAGCCCCTGGCCACATGTGTGATGACCTGTGTAGTCTGCATGGCCTTCCGTGTTGATTGGCCATTTTTGCCTGTTTCCTGCGTGCTTGGTAAACTTGTGATACCTATGCCATCCAGCCCTATCCCAAGCACAGGAGCCAGAACATTTTTGAGCTGGGTATGGTGGCACAGGCCTGTGATCCTAGCACTTGGGAAGCTGAGGCAGGAGGGTCTTCAGTTCAAAGCCATCCTGGGCTCCATAGCAAGTTCAAGGCCAGCCTAGGTGAGGCAGCAAAAGCCTGTCTCAAAACTGCAAGAAGCCTTACTGTTGTTTTTTGTCACATTCAGGATAAAGTGTGTGGTTCCCCTCTGTGGCCCATGATGCAGCCCCTCCCGACTCCCCTCAGCCCTGCCTTTCCTACTCCTCCTCTGCCCTGAGTGGCACCAGATGTGTGCGGCTTGGCATCCTCTTGAGTGCTAGCCTAGCCCAGGTCCTGGGCACCAGCATTCACCCTGCCCCTCACTTCCTGTACCCCTACCCCTGCGGAGCAGCCAGGGTCCCTGGCTTCCTCCTCCAGGAGAACACCCTGGGCTGGCACAGCCTCGTGGCGTGCACTGTGTTCACACTTAGTGCATGTCTCCAGGTGCAGGTTTTGTGTCCCGGCCCTGGAGCTTGCCGAGTGCTTAGTTGGTCAGTGGATGCAGCCGACTTGGGGGCAGTGTTGGGGTTGACCCAGAGCTTTCACCCAGAGCTACATCCCCAGCTGCATCCCTTCCATTTGCTGTTTTTGAGACAGGGACTTGCTGAGTTGCTCAGCTGAATTTGAACTTGCGATACTCTTGCTTCAGCCTCCCGAGTGCTGGGATCCGGGGTGCAGGCCACCACACCACTGGTCTCCGAGGCTGAGTCGCAGTTTTTCCGTTGCAGGCGCATGCCCAGCCTCCTGGAGTACGTGAGCTACACGTGCAACTTCATGGGCATCCTGGCCGGCCCTCTGTGCTCTTACAAGGACTACGTAGCATTCATCGAGGGCCGCTCATATCGCGGAGCACAGCCGGGACCCGGCGGGGAGGAGGCAGCACCATGGGAGCAGCACACGGACCCGTCTCCAAAGGTGCGCATGCATGTTTGTGTTCCCCATCTTCCTCTCTCCTGACAGGGTTTGTTCCCACGGTCTGTTTCCCCAGACGTGACTTTCTGAAGGTGCCACCGGTACCGACTCCTCACACTGGCTCTCAACTAGGTTGTTCACTAAGGTGCAATCGTGATTAAAGGGCAACAGCCAGGCATGGTGGTGCACGCCTGGGGTCCCCAAACTCTGGGAGGCTGATGCGGGAGGATTGCAAGGCAGAACCCAACTTGGACGACCTATTGACTTAGGGAAAGCCTGCCTCAAAGAAAAGGGCTTGGCTGTAGCTCAGGGCAAAGGCCTCGGGTTCAATCCTCAGTACCCTGGAAGGAAGGGGGAACAGATTTTTAGAAACTGTCAGTTGCTCAAGAAAATAAGGCTGTGTAGTGTGGGGTATCGCACAGCCCCTCTGAAAGAGCCACTTGCCCGGGTTTTTCTCTTGTTTGTGCTGTGTCGCTGGCCCTGAGAAAATAGTGAAAAAAGCTAAGAGGGATTCCCTTTCTGTTATCTCCTGAAAGAGTTTAGAATCCCACAGTGACCCATGCATCCCATGTTCCAGCAACACAACTCCTAACAGTTGCACCTTGAAAGGAGCCCTTACTTCTATCCACAGATGCAAGGAAAGTGGTGTTTGCACACAGTGGAGTACTACTCTGCCGTAAAGGACAAACGCGAGTCATTTGTGGGCAGAGGGATGCACTTTCAGACTATAATGTTAAAATCAGATACACAAGCTTAAATGTCCCGTGGTTTCTATAAGAAGTCCAAAGTAAATAAAGAGTAGAGAGGCTAGGGATTTAGCTCAGCAGCATAAGAGCTTGCCTGGCAAGTGTGAGATTGTGAGTTCAATCCCTGGTACTAAAAAATAAGTAGAATAAAAAATAGAAGTAGGGAGATGGATCTTTGTCAGAGTGAAGGGGACCGAGATACAGTGAGCAGTGGGAGGGGAGGGAGCAGGTAGGAGAGAGGGATTATGATGTGTTAAGTTGGTGCACCGACTGTGGTATACACTGAAGACTAGATTGGACCCTCTTGGAGCCTGAGGGGCTGACGGTGACACCCCCACCTCCCACAGGCAGCAGTGACGCAGAAGCTCCTGGTGTGCGTGCTGTCGCTGCTGGTGCACCTGACGGTCTGCAGTGTGCTGCCCGTGGGCTACAACATCGATGAGCAGTTCCGAGCCACGGCCTCCTGGCCCACCAGGGTGGCCTACCTCTACATCTCCTTGCTGGCTGCCCGACCCAAATACTACTTTGCCTGGACCTTAGGTGAGTGGCGGCCCGGGGTGGCAGGGGAGGCTGCTTTGTGATGGGGACTCCCTGGGTTGGCCAGGCTGGCCCTGGGCTCCTGGGCTCCAGGGATGGCACCTGTCTTGGCCTCCCCAGTAGCTGGCGCTGCAGGCCAGCACCACCACACTCTGGCTCATGAGCGCCCTCTGGAGACCATCGGTGTAGAAGAAACCATTTGGTGCTCAGCTTGTAAGAATAATCCTAACTAGATCAAAGTCTATTTTATTACTATACGATAAGAGTCCATGGATGAGCAAGGCATGGTGGTGCGAGCTGCTAATTCTGCCGTTTGGGAGGCTGAGGCAGGAAGATTGCTATGAGAGTTCAAGGTCATTTTCAGCTCCATAGAGAGACCACAGCTGCTGCATCAGAATCTGCCTCTGTGGAGGGGTCCTGTGGAGCTTGGCCAGGATGCAGCTGCCAGAGGGACAGTTCCGGCCACGCCCACCCTAGGGCTTGGAGGGTGGGGACTGAACTCTGACTTCCGGTTTGATTCTCCCAGTGTGGGTTGGCCCTCTGGGGCCCAGCAGGTGGTTAGGGGAATGAGGGAGGATGGAGAGAGTGAAGATTTGAGGAGTTGGTGACCATGGTGACCACGGGGGGATGCAGCTATTAGTCATGGACTTCTCTTGGAATTCTATTAAACGGGACCATAGCTGTGTGGATCAGTGGACCTGAAGGCTCGTGGTTGTTGGTCCATTGTGGCTGACCTTGGTTACCCCACAGAGGAACAGATCTCACTTGTTTATTCCTTTTTCCCTTAGGCCTAATTACTTTAAGATCCCATGTGTTGACTGGAACACACTTATAAAGACTAAAACAATCTAAAGATGTTTGTTATTTGCGGGGTTTTGATAGGCTTGGGCTTCTTCCTGCTTTTGTCCTGGCACGAACAGAATAAACCATAGCGCTTTTCCAGTTGCTTGGGAAAGAGCCAGTGGGAGGAAGAAACTTCCTCTGCAGCTTCACCCAGCAGGGGTGCAGAGTGAGAGGCTGCGGAGGGTCAGGAAACGGGCTCAGGGACCTTGCACAGATGGGGTTCTGGGGATCCAGGAAAGAGGGCAAAGATGTGTACGACCCTCTAGGTGACTGAAGACGAAGGTTAAATTCGAGGCAGTGTCTTAATCCCTTTGTTCATCACTGATGCCTGCAAGTGAGAAGAGGAAAGATTCTAGTGGGTGCACATCTCAGTCTATGGCCACTGCCGCATTGGCCTTGGGCACCGCAGAGCATCCCAGGGAAGGGGGCAGAGCAAGGGTTGGGGAAACCCTCCAGGCCACACTTAGGCCCACCTCAGCCAATCATTGCTAAGCTTCCATCAATCAATGGCCTCCCTGAAGCCGCGCCACGTCCTGGCGAGCCCTGGGGACCCCTAGATCTAAACCAGGGCGGATGAGGCTTGGAGGATGGCGGTGACAGCAGTGCTGAAGTTCTTAAGTGTTTTCTTTTTTCTCGCTTTCCCTGTGCCACAGCGGATGCTATTAATAACGCTGCAGGCTTTGGCTTCAGAGGCTACGACAGGAACGGAGTGGCTCGCTGGGACCTGGTCTCCAACCTGAGGATTCAGCAGATAGAGGTCAGTGGGTTCTGGGTGTGCACTGCCCTGGGGCGAAGGCTGGTGGAGGGTGTGGTGGGGAGGTGTCAGCATCGTCACCAGTGGTGGTGGGGACTGCTGATGGTGGCCTTGTGACCAGGGCACCAAGGGTCTAGCAAATGCCACAGGTCCTGGTGCAGCCCCTGCGGAGTGTGTGTCTAAGGTCAGGAAAGGGGTCTGGATCTGCGAGGTGGAGCCTGTGCAGTTCAAAAAAACCCGACTCAGCTGCCGTGGTGGCACACACATGTAACCCCAGCAGTCAGGAGGCTGAGGGAGGAGGATCATTTCAAGTTCAAGGCCGGCCTCAACTGCATAGCAAGACCCCTGTCTCAAAAAGAGAGGGGAAAAACAGCTCTGAATTGGCTTTGAGTAGGAGCTTGGGAAAGCTGGTCCCAGGGCGACAGAATCCTGGGGAGATGGGAGAGGTGAGTGGAAGAGCATGTAGTGGGCCCCTGTTTTTGGTTTTTTCCTACATCTGGTAAGAAAGACGGGACGACATGAGAATGTCCCTGGGATGGCAGGCTGCTCCCACAGTGCCTTGCATAAGCAGGGGCCCAGGTGGGAGCCTCGCCCAGGGGTGCAGGTAGACAACACCTGCTCTTCTTAATGGGGGTGGGGCCAGGTAGCACCCAGACTCAAGTCACCAGGGGCCTGAGGGGTGACAGTAGGAGGGGCCATAACTCTGGGTACCTGAGCTCGCAGACAATGCTGGGGATGCACTGGTTCCCATGGGAGGGTTGGTCAGTATGGGCCTTGGTGGTTTCTATCAGGACTTTACTGTCACTGTCTTCTGACAGCTTTGTGAATGTCACCACACCAAAGAAAGTGGTGATGCTTATTTACCTTCTGCTGTCCTAACATGAAGTAAACTGCATTATGGAAGGGCGTTACTATATCAGAAAAACAGTATAATACAACAGAAAGGAGCCTGGCATGGTGGCTTACACCTTAATCCCAATACTCAGGAGGCCAAGGCAGGAGGATCACTTATAGTTTGAAGCCAAGCCTAGGCTACACAGTGAGACCCTGTCTTGAAAAAGAAAAGAAAAGAAGCAGAAATAGTTAAACTATCATTGTGAAGTAATTCTTAGATTTTTTTCTTTTTTTTAAATTTTGCATTGTCAGTGTTTTGTAATATGTAAGAATCGAATTCAGCCAATGCACGCACGTGACGCACTGTGATTCTTTTCATATCCCCTGCCTCTCCCTCCCTAGTCCTTAGCCCCCTTCCCTGCATCCATCTTTACCTTTGCTTTCATTTATCTAATATTTCGGGTTGCTCTTCTAAGATGAGCTTTTATTTCCGGCACCATCATGCATTACGACTTCTTTTTTTTTTTTTTTTTTTTTTTTTTTTTGGCTTTTTTCCTTTTTATTGGTACTGGGGATCGAACTCAGGACCGCCTGCTTGCAAGGCAGGTGCTTATGCCGCTGAGCTAAATCCCTAGCCCCTTGCATCATGACTTCTACCCACAAAAAACCCCTTGTTTTTCAGATGTCAACCAGTTTCAAGATGTTCCTGGATAACTGGAACATCCAGACAGCGCTGTGGCTCAAAAGGTGCGTCCTGGGGCTGCATGTCCTCACAGCTGAGGGTCACCACTGTCACAGGCTGTGGGTTGGGTGGGGCAGGGGTCCCCAGGAGATAGTGCACAGCCACCCTGCAAGAGCTCTCTGGGTTGAGTCCCCTTGGCCTGCTTCAGACCTCTGTCTTCCACCGGGGTCCTCCCCTTTGCTGGAGATATTGTAGCCAGCTGTGGTGGTGCACACCTGAAATCTCAGCACTTGGGAAACTGAGGTAGGAGGATCACTGCAAGCTTAGGGCCTCGCCTGGATTTTGTAGCAGTGCCCTGTCTAAAAAAAAAAAAAAAAAAGTTCTTAAAGTACTGAAATAATGTACACTAAAATCCTGACCGTAATACCTAGTAAGGTTTATTCCTTTAAATTGTGTAGACTCCAACACCAGGAATAATCGTTTTGGTGATGCTGTGTACCAGGAAGAAGTGGGAGTTCAATTTCTGTTCCTCAATGGGACCTGTACCTGCACCACTGGGGTGGCAACCAGGGATGTCCCCTGCCCTAGATGGCATTTGCCCCTCTGGCTGCCCCGCCTTGCTGCTGCCAGGGCACTGAGTGATGGGGTAGGGAGCCCGCCACTTATGTAGGCTGTCCCCCATCACCAGGGTGTGTTATGAGCGCGCCTCCTTCAGCCCCACGGTGCAGACCTTCTTCCTGTCGGCCATCTGGCACGGCGTATACCCTGGCTACTACCTGACCTTCCTCACCGGCGTGCTCATGACGGTTGCCGCCCGGGCTGTGAGTATGGGAGCTGTACCTGCACCTCAGCACCTGGGTCTCGGGTACCGAGGGGAACGCGGGTGGGACCACGTGCCTGGCCCAGCCCTGAGTCCTGTAAGCAGCGCACTGCTCGAATGCCTGGCACACAGAAGCACTTGGAGAATATCACTTGTCTGCACTTTCAGCACTGGGCAGGTTTGATTACTGCAAACTTGAGCCAGCCTGGGTTATATAGTGAGACCTTGTCTCAGAAGCAAACAAACAAAAACACGCAAACCTACAGAAAAGTTGCCATAAGCTCTTAAGGCCCGGCCCTCACAGTCGCCAATTTACATCTTACTCCACCCACAGCAAGTGTGTGCATGCATACACACTCATATACACCATGCACACATGAGCCTTTCCCGCACTGTGGACCATACTGTAGACCTTGCCCGAGCATCACTGAGGTCCTGGCCTTAGAGACAGTGAGCCCTTCCTGTGTCTGGGTCTCAGATGAGGAGCAACTTCAGACAGTGCTTCCTGGAGCCCCCACAGCTGAAGCTCTGCTACGATGTCCTCACGTGGTCGGTGACGCAGATTGCAGTGAGCTACACCGTCGTGCCCTTCGTGCTGCTGTCTGTGAAGCCATCCCTCACCTTCTACAGGTAAGCGCCCCTCCTCAGGCTCATGTGGAGAGTGGGGGGGGGCAGTGGCAGCTGTGTTTTGTTTTGCTGAGATAGTATCTGGCTGTGGGGGCCAGGCTGGCCTTGAACTTATTACATAAGCCAGGATGGCTTCCAGCAGGGTAGAGATCCTCCTGTTTTACCCTCTGAGCACTGGGAAGACAGATGTGTGCTACCACGCCTGGCTGAGTGGTGTTTCTGGAAGAAAATCTGAATCTGAAAGAAAAAGTGCCATAGACCTTTATGCATTATTCCTCTTCTTCTCAACACCAAGCAGTGCTGTGTCTCCCTGGGACTGACAGCTCCTGAGCCCTGTCTGGGCTGTGGTGTAGACGGCACTGCTGCCAAGCTCCGGATTGTGGGAAGGCAGCGACGGGAGGGTGGACCAGAGAGTGCCTCACAGGGATGATGGCGATCGGTGCCTTTCTGTTCATGTCCTCTAGCAGTGGCTCTGAAACCCTTTCCCTAGGCTCTGGCTTACCCAGCTTACCCCAGCCAGGGTACACAGTGGCTCATAAACACTCTGCTGCTGAGTTGGGAGAGCATGCGCTAATGCAGACCTCAGAAGGCTGAGATGGGAGGAGCACTGCAGGTTCAAGGCCAGCCTGGATTACATAGTTGAGTTCAAAGACGGCTTGAAGTGTATAGCAATACCTTGTCTTGAAAAAAATAAGTAAACTAAAGTAAACCCAAAATTAAAAATAAACACCCTCAGCTACGCTCTGGAGTTCTACTTCCTGAGGGAAAAGAGAGAAGAATAATTAGTGAGTGAATGCATCCCGAGGGGGCCTGTAGTGCGTGGACACAGGTGCGTGTCTCACGGATTACTATCAGAATTTGATAGACCTACCCAGACGTGCGGCACACGCCTGGGATCCCAGCACTCCAGAGGCTGTGGCAGAAGGATCCCCTCACATTCCAGCGAGATTGTCTCAGTGCAAGAAATGAAACGGTTTCCCTTTTTCTTTCAGCTCCTGGTATTACTGCCTTCACATCTGTGCAATCTTAGTTTTATTGTTGTTGCCAGTGAAGAAAACTCGGAGAGGAGAGATGGTGCATGGAAACCAGCACCCGGCCCCTTCTGGAAAGCAAGAGGAGAGGAACAGCTCCTCGGGGTGGAACAGCACCCCTGTGATGAACAGCGTGAGCAGTGTGAAGCCGGAGCAGGGGCAGGAGCAGGGGGGCTGCAGACATCGGTGGTCCCCGCAGCCCTGACGCGTCTCTCGGTGGCACAGCTCAGTCCTCACTGTGCAGATTGGTGGGAATGGGACGCGTGGAGGGCATGGCTGGCCCCAGGGACCCGCAGCCCTGCCACTGCCCTGGCCACGCCTTACTGGGGTGTCCTGGCCTCCGTGGGTGGGCGCAGGTGACCTTTCCCGCCCACTGGTGTCCCCTGCCGGCCCCGGCCCAGCGCCTGCCCTGTGCATCCTGGCCGCCGAAGAAATGGCAGCGTCCTTGCGGCCCTGCTGGCGATGGATTCACCTTCCCACATGGATGTCTTGCCTTAAACCCTCTCTTTGGGAAGCTGTTGCTGCTTGTGGTCTTCGAGGGGGAAGGGTATGCAGAGCCGGCCTCAGGATCCCATGTCCATGCTGTAGAGGGATTAGGGAGAATCTGAAACCGGGTATTTAAGGTTGTGGAGAATTTTTAAAAGCGCAATAAACATCTCAGTATTTGAAGGATTTTCTTAAAGTATCTCCTAGCTAACACAGAGCGAGCTGGGCGTTGTGGCACAAGCCTGTCACCCCAACATACTGGAGAGGAGACTGAAGCAGGAAGACCATAGAATCTGAGGCCAGCTGGGCCACATAGTGAGCTCAAGGCCAGCCAGGACTACCTAAGGAGAACCTGTCTCAAAAAAACTACCAAAAATAAGGAGAGTAAAATTCACAGCGAAACTGTCTGCAGTTTGGGTTGCCAAATTATAGCTAGCTAGTTTCACTGGAAAGCTTAATTACCTTGTGGTGGTCAGAGGGCCCCACCAGGAGGAATTTTAAGCATAATTAAAGATTTGGTAATGTGGTATTTTAATCTTATGTTCTTAAAAAAAAAGAGAGAGAAGGCTGGCCAACCTGCAGCCAAAGGCAGGATGTTCCCTTTCTGCTTCAGGGAGCTACGTGAGGTGTAATAACTTGCTTCTCAGTGGAGTTTATCAAGCATAAACTATATAAAATTCAGACAGGTATGTTATATACCTGTGATCCCAGTGCTTGGGAAGCTGAGGCAGAAAGATTACCATGCCTAGGCTACATCGTGACTTGAAGGCCACACACTAGACCACCTAGGGAGACAATGGCTCAGAGAACACACAGGACAGGTAACACAACATTCACAGAGGTGAGGAAGCGGTGGTGGCTGGCTGGAAGGTTTTAAAGCAATCCCTGGTAACTAGGGTACCTCTTTGGCTAACCCCTTTTTTACTTGGGGTCACTTTGGTTCCCGGGTGGTGATGACAGGGGAGCCGCAGGGGAAATGACAGCTCAGTGGCCAGTCTGAGTGGCGCTCTGGAGAACTGTGCAGTGTGTGCGTCCAACCTGCTCACACGGGAGCCTCACCTCCAGCCCTGAGCCAGCGGAGTACAGATATGGGGGTTATGGGCTCTCGCAGGGCACCAAGCCCGTGAGGGCTTAGAGTTAGGGGGGATGAGGACGAGGGGCCAGCGCAGGGGCATCTCTGGCTTTTGTCCTTTGACAAAGGCATCTCTGTCCTTTGACTGATCTTTTGTAGATTTATTTCCTTTTTGCCTTAAAAGTTTTAATGAGATGCAAGTCATCAGTCTAAGATGAGTCTGTGATCACTAACAGACGTGTAAATGATGTGAAGGGCGAAATGGTTTGGCTGAGGCTGCGCAGTGCTTCAGTTAAAGGAAGCAAAATGATAGTGGTTTTAGAAGTTTAGAAATACTTTGCCTTGTTTCCTCTCCCTCTCTCCTGCCTTCCTCCTTCCCTGCCTCTCCTCTCCTCTCCTCTCTTCTCCTTCCCCACCCCTCCCTTCCCCTCTTTTGTAGTCCAGGCTGCCCTTGAACTCACTTTGTAGCCCAGGCTAGGCTGGAGCTCACAGTGATCCAGCCTTCCTCAGCCTCCTGAGTGCTAGGATTTACAAAACGGGATTCAGCAAATATTTATATTATTTGTTCACTCTTCAGACAGCTCAGAAACTCTCAGAGATGATCAATGATCATTGTATTTATACTGGTTCATTATATACTTCTCAAGGGAAAATAATTATTCTTCCCTTGATTTCGTTTCAGTGAAACAATAATTCATTTAATCTGAAATGTCTCAGCTGCCACCGTTTTAGGAGTGGCTCATTCTTTTTTGTAAAATGCACATTTTTGCTGGGTGTGGTGGTGCACACTTGGAAGCAGAGCACTTAGGAGGCTGAGGCAAGAGGCTTACTGAGAGCTTGAGGCCAGCCTGGGCTACATAGCAAGACCCTGTCTCAAAAAAACAGAATATAAGCATTTTTATTGGTGCTAAGGGTGATTGGGGAAGTTCATTTTGTTTCTGAAATACTGAGTGATAAAGTGGATTTACTGGATTTGAAACAGTGTAGCTAGCACATCTCTCATCAGCCAGCACCATCCACGTGGCTGAAACTTTGGTTCCCAGCATATATGACACTCATACACTTGATTTTCACACACACTATTGTGTGTGTGTGTGCATGCGCTTGTGCTACAGAGGACTGAACCCAAGGCCTTCCCACTGAGCTATGTACCTGCCCTTTTTATATTTTTGAGACAGGGTCACTTATATTGCCCAGGCTGAGTTCAAACTCGGGGCCCCTCTGCCTCAGCCTCCCAGTGTGCTCACAAACCACTTGGAGGAAACTGAGGGAAGGGCTGGTTGGGGAGCCCTGGCCTTCCCACTCTACCCCACAAGTCCCCTCCGCTAGAGAAAGGGTCCACAGGAGTCCAGGGTGGATTCACTAAGAACTGCCACACCACCCCCACGTCAGTTAGCACTGGGAGGGTTGTCATGGCAACAGGAAATCCTTTTAATCCATTCAGTCAGAAGGTGACACCTTTGTGCCATTTCTCCTGTCTAGCCCTTCAAACGAGTCTTTCATAGAGAAACAGGCTCTCCTGGGGGGAGGGGCGGGAGTCTTTCTGCCTTCTCTGCCACTCTAGATTTTTTGCTAGGTGACATGACTGGGTTGTCTTCTACTGAAGGTACACTTCCTAGCCTGGAGGTGTGGAGGTGCATACCCATCATCCAGCACTCCAGAGGCTGAGGTGGGGAGGTCACCCCAAGTTCAAAGCCAGCCTGGGGTACATAGTGCAGCCCTGTCTCAAAACAATCACGTTTCTGACTGGGTTTACTGCTACGAAACTTCTCAAAATATATGGTGTTCCAAGAATTTGGTTAACCTTTATTTTAAACTACAGAAGACAATTTCTTTAAAATTTTGTCATTATAACAGTTGCACAGGCTAGGACAAAAAAAACTTATTTAAAATTTATAGCTCGTAAATAGTATATTTACAGACAAACTTGGACATTTACATTTACTTCTGTTCTTCATAATTCTTAGTTGTTTTTAAAAATTTCTTCTCTCTCCTTTTCTTTCTTTTGAGACAGGATCAAAATTGCACGGATCCTCCTGCCTCAGCCTCCTGAGGTGCTGGATCACAAATGTGAGCTATCACACCCAGCTAAGTGTTCTAATTGCCATTGAAAGAAAAGTTACTTGAGAATTCTCGTGTCTACACAGGTGCCTGCCTACTGTGTCTGCTAAGAACTTGTTTAAACTTTTAGGTATAAACCAGTATTAGTGGGGGTAATTCAAGCATTTAGATTCCATCCTGGGTGAAATCTAATGAAGGCATAGAATTGTAAGTAACACTGTCCATGCGCTCCCCACAACCCCGGAGGCACTCACACAGATACTGCTCTTGTCCTGGAAGCTCCGTGAGTAGCTGGTCGTGCGTCTGGGTCTCTCTGACACTGAATGTCTGCCTCCTGCTGTACTCATACCATGGGTTTACATCCATCCTGGCTCTCAACAATGCAGGGAGAGACTGCATTTTCTTTTGTCTGGTTTTTTGGGATGGAGTCTTGCTATGTTCAGGCTCTCCTTGAACTTACTATGTAGTCCAGGTTGGCCTTGACCTTCTGGCGATCCTCCTGCTTCAGCCTCTCAAGTGCTAGAATTACAGGTATGCATCACCATACCTGGCCTTGAGACTGCATTTTAAAAAATGAAATTCACTCTGAAATTTGAATTGAAAGTTTCAGAATGTAGGGGTCTTCAGTGTTTTCCTGCCACACCTTGCCGTCAAGTCTGTGTATTGCAACTCTCCTTATGGAAGAAAATGGGAAATGAAAATTTTCACAGTGCTGTTTTGTAGGAATGCTCTGTCAGCCAGTTAGCTGCCTCTTCCGGCTCCTGTTGTACAAAGGATGCAGCCAGTGACATTTAAATTGGCAGGCTGCTTAATGTTTTCTATGTTTTAAAGTAATATTTATTTTAATAGATTTTTAATACCATGCCTACCCCAATAAAGAACTGACAAGCTCTGTAGATCATTGATTGGAAAAGCTTCATGAAACAGATCCTAGAGGTACATTTTCATGCCAACTAATTTATCTCACCTTTGACGACTGATCCTGGCTCTTGAATACAACTTTTTTTTTTTTTTAATTTTTTTTTTTTTCTTTTTTCCGGTACCGGGGATTGAACTCACGACCACCTGCTTGCAAGGCAGGTGCTTATGCCGCTGAGCTAAATTCCCAGCCCCTTTAGTACAACTTTTATAAAGCAAAGAAAAAAGGCCCACGACTACATGTTATGTAAAATAGTAACAGAAAGACCCATGCAACACCTATCCAGAGGCATCCAAAGCTTACCCAGTAACCGTCAGCTGTCTTCACAGCCAGGTTTTAATCAAATTTTGTAGATATAAATAGAAAATGGAAATATGACAAGAAACCACAATTACCCAGTGATCTCCCAGTAGCACTCTTGGGATGGAGGAAGTGACCAGCTGCTGGTTACTGGACTTTTCCATGACTATCCAGCTTGATCTCTGCTTGGGGTTCACTCCTTTGAGAAACTGGTTTGTCCATATTCCTGTCTGTCCTTGTGAAAGACAGACACACAGTCCGACGGGCTTTCTGGTTCTGCCTTTTGCCATCCATAGTATTTGGATTTCTGGCCGCGCTGTGTGGTCAGTGGAAGATCAGTTGGGTTGTGAGGCCAGAGGACTGAAGCATGGAACACAGATTTCTCCCCAGCCAGTCGGTCACTTGTCACCTGCTGGGGCCACGACACAAGGACAAGTGGAGGTCACGATGATCCTGGGGAAGTGAGGGCTGTGGCCCCATCCCTGCTGCCCCCCCCCCCCGCCAGCCACATCCATGGCTCTCAGTCATCCCCAGCAGTCACTGCCAGCATCCCAACCCCAGGCCTCCAAGGGCAGTGTTTATACTTCCTCCTGGGTGTGGGGGGATAGGGGCCTCATGTGGGCTGTGCTTTCTGTTTTTAGCACTCTAAAATATTTTTCTAAAGAAGTGTTATTTTTCAACAGACCTATAAACCAGGTCTTGTGAGGCCAACGGGAGCTGCCTCTGTCCCCCCTGCCCCATGATGGGACAAACCCATGGCCACCCCCTGAGCTGGACCAGTGGATGAGTGCTGGGTGTGACAGCTGTTTTTTAACATATGTGTTCTTCCTTTTTCTAATTTGTGTCATTAAAGCCGATTAGTTTCAAAGCACCGCCTGTGTGTCTGCTGCTTTCAGCGTCTCTGAGTTCTGTCTGGAGAAGTGAACACCGGCTCCCGTGAAGGGGAGTGTGCATTTTTTGAAGGACTGACTCTTCCACAAGCTCACGATATTCCTCCACTGACTCTTCCTCTCTTTTCTGTTTTTTTGAGACAGGATTACTCTGTGTAGCCAAGGCTGGTTCTGATTTCACTGTGTAGCCAGCCTGCCCTCAAACTCCCAGTGATCTTCCTGCCTCAGCTTCCCAAGCACTGGGTTAGAAGCAGGCACTACTGTCAGGTGGCATTTACAGACTTGGAAGCAGAGAGTGTTCCGTGATGTGTGTGTCCTTTCCTTCCCCCAGTACAGTCTTTGCCTAGACTGATTTCTGGGCAGGGAAGGGGGTGGGCAAAGGGTCTAAGCAGTTAAAATGAGTTAAAAGTTGTATTCTTGTCCAGAGCAACAGGAAGGCAGAGAGCTGGGCCCTCTGAGAAGCACCCCCAAGCAGTGAGGGGCTGCAAGAGGAGCACCAGACTTGGGAGTCAATTTGTTCCCAGAGGACCTTGGATGAGGAGACCTCAAGTTGAGGTCTTGAGCCCCTGGCTGGGTTCCACTGGGATGAGGTCATCTGCCACAAGTAGAGGTTTCTAGTTTATGCCTGGAGCCCTTTGAACCTCTCTGCTGGTCCCTCTTCCACACTGCCGGGCCTGGCCTGTCCTGGCATGTAGGGCGCACCATCTGCTCTACAGAGAACCCAGGTCTATCTGGAGAACACAACCTCTCTTGCAGGCTGGGGCTTGAGCCCACTGCCCTCACACTGAGCTCCATTCCCAGCCCTATGTTTTGAGTCAGGGTCTCGTTAAGTTGCTAAAAGGCCCAGGTTGTGCTGTAACATGGATCCTCCTGCCTCAGCCTCACCAAGTACAAAGTATACAGGCCCTTCTTAAATCTAGTGGCTGCCTCCTCTGTACCTGTCCCCAGGCCCCTGATGGAGTCATGCCATCTATCCCCACCTTGGCAGAACCAGCAGATTCAGGGCACTCTGCACCATTGCCTAGGCTTTTCAGTCTAGAAGACTGTCAGGCATCGTCTCCACCCACCCCGCCTCCCACACACCCTGACCACCCCTCAAGCACAGTTGCAGGAGTCAACTTCACTGAGTAGCTCTGAGAATTTCCACAAGGCCAGCACTCTGGGAGGCTGAGGCAGGAGGATCACTGTGAGTTCAAGGCCAGCCTATTTTGAGTCAGGGTCTTAAAACAATAAGAACAAAACACCCTCCCCTCTTTTAGCCTGCAGACCCTCTGCCCCTAACTTTGACCCCTACTGCCTCCTACTTCATCTGCGTGGTTGAATCAAGATTTTCGTAAACCTATCAAAGGGATAAAATTCTGGAAGAAGCAAATGACAGTATTTTTTATTAGAAAATCAAGATAGAAAATGAAGCTGGAAGTGGTGGCACATGCCTGTAATTCCAGCCACTAGGGGCTGAGCCAGTAGGAGTTAAGCGCAAGCCTCGCCTGACAAATCTGACTTAGCAAGGCCTTGTCTCAGAAGGGCTGGTGAGCTCCATCCTGTACGGAGAAAAAAAGGAAAGTTCCAAGTGGTGAGATTAGGATTGTTATCCATCCCCTTTTCCCAGGACTCTGTAGGTTCCCTGTCAGCTGCAGGCCAGCCTGGGCAGCCCAGGGAGTCCCTGGGGCGCCGGGACTGCGGGCATGTGCTACCACATCTAGGCCACCAGCATTTTAAGAGGAGACATTCATGTCTGAAATTGCTGATTTGGACAAAGTCTGAGAACGTCTGGACCCCTTAGGTCAGCAGGGAGACGGGTGTTTTAAAAACCACAGTCCTCACCTCTTTCTCACTGAGGGCGGAGCCCTGACTTTTAGAGAGGTTCACAGGGTAGGCACGGCAGTGACTGTGTGTTATCCCAGCACTCCAGAGGCTGAGGTAGGAGGATTACAAGTTGGAACTCAGCTTGGGCAATTTAGCAAAACCCTGTTTCAAAATAAAGTAAATGAATATAAGAGGCCAGAGATGTAGCTCAGTGCAAAAGCCTTGGTTTGATTCCCAGTACTACAAAAAAAGTAAATCCACAGATGGTTAAGATGTGTTTTCACCTATGTGTCAACCTGGAAACTCATGAGAAAAGTTGAGGAGTTTGGCTTTATCAGAATCTACTATGAGGCCAGGTTAGCTGTCACACCTGTCTTTCTAGCACTTGGGAAGCTAAGGCAGAAGGATTGCTATAAATTCCAGGCCAGCTTGGGTGACATAGTGACTTCAAGGCGAGGGTGGACTACACATTGTGTCCCTACCTAAAAAGAAAAGAAAAAACCCTGTCATTGTTCACAGCTTGCATGGGGCCTTGCACTCATGAGAGTAGACTTTAAAAGAAAGAGAATTCGCAGGATAATGCGTAACTGGAAGGAGTAAGAGGAGACTCAGGAGGGCCGGACTGGGGCACTGGCTGCTGGGGACATGGAGGCAGGGGCTCCGCTGGGGGCTGTTCTGAGGACCCCGAAGTGGCTGTAATCACAGCCCTGTTGGGCAACAGCAGCTGAGTCCTCATGACTGAGGGACCTTCGGTTTCCTGCGAGGGACCCGCATTGCTGGAGGTGCAGGCCCAGGCACGCGAGGCTCTGCTGCAGTCCAGGTGACCACAGTGACAATCCAGGTGACAGAGGCCATAGGGGACCCTCTCCCCCCGGGGTCCTCGGTCTTTTTTTCTTTTTTAATTTTTAAAATTTTATCGGTACCAGGGACCGAATTCATGACTGCCTGCTTGCAAGGCAGGCGCTTATGCCACTGAGCTAAATCCCCAGCCCCAGTGGTCCTCGGTCTTGCAGGGCACCAGATGGCTGGTAAACTCTGGGCTGCTAAACCTGAGTGGCTGTCTCCAAGCCAGACATCCTGGACGGACTGACCTGCTCCACACAGAAATGGGAAGGACCTGCCTAGATGGTTCACACCACAGAGAAAAAGGACGCTCTACTCTCCCTTTACCCATCTGACAGCCATAGGTCCAAGTGATGGGTCCCTTTTTTTGTTGTTTGTTGTTTGTTTTTTTTTTGTAGCAAAACCCACTTTTAAATCCCTGACTGGCTCAGAAGAAAACATAATCATAAATAAAGCTTTTCTCTGTGTACTGGGGATCAAACCCAGGGGTGTTCTGCCATGCAGCTACATCCTCAGCTCCTTTATTTTATTTGCAGATTCATTCAGTCATTCTGAGACAAGGTGTCACTACACAGGTCAGGCAGGCCTTCAACTCATTATGTGGCTCAGGCTGGCCTTGAACTTGTGATCTTCCTGTCTCAGCCTCCTGAATGATGGGATCGTACGCATATACGCTGCACCTGGTTTCTTTTTATTTTGCGACAGCGTCATGCTAAATTCTCAGCGTAGGACATTAATCTGTGATCCTTCTGCTTCAGCCTCCCAATGTGCTGGGATAACAGACATGTGCCACTGTGTCCAGCTGAAATCAGGCTTTTGGTGAGTATGTCTGTTTGTCCTTTTTCCCTAGTGTGATCTCTCTGTGAGTGGGGCCCACATGAAACGAGAGAAATCAAAACAGCACACAGTGAAGCTCTCCAAGAGCAGACTTCTCAGGAGAGGCAGGCAGACGCAGGACACTGCACTGTACCTGGCGATGGTGGGTGGCCCCTGGGATCCGGGCTCGGACGCCCTTTTGCTGGCAGGCAGACAGGTGAGCAGGGTCAACCTGCCTTGCACAGGTGTGAGCGCTGACCATGTCCTGGGTGCTGTGGAGTAACAAAATGAGCACCAACTGCGGGCGGCGGGGTGCATACCCAAAATCCCAGCAGTGTAGGTGGCTGAGGCAGGAGAGTTGCAAGTTTTTAAAAACTTGTACTTTACTGGCACATTTTATTTTTTTATTTAAAGAGAGAAAAAAAAACAGCAGTAAAAGGGTACAAGTCATACAGAATTTCAAGAAAAAAATATACAGTAAGAAATCACTAGTTAATAGATTACATATTGTCCTCTTAGAAACAGTTGTCCAGGGCTGGGGATTTAGCTCAGTGGCATAAGCTCCTGCCTGGCAAGCATGAGGTTGTGAGTTCAATCCCTAGTACCAAAAAGAAAATAGAAACAGTTGTCCAAATTACAAAATTAAAGCATACAAAGTGGACATCCATATAGTGAGACTGCAGACAGTTCTGTTCAATGATCCAACAAAAACTCAGTAATATGGTTTTCTATCCTACACACTTAAATATACATGCAGTTATATTCTTTAGACCGTTAGACTTTCTTTTCCTCTCTTTTTTACAATAACAATTACACTTTTTGGGTTTTATTACTCCCACAGTTCTTATAACTTTTTTTTTTTTTTCTGAAGAGAAAAAAAAAAAAACATGTGACAAAGCAAAACAGAGTCAGTTAGAACAGAAGAATGGACATAGTATATGATGCAAAAACAGAATACCAGGTGATCAAAAATGGTTACCATTATGCCTCTTGCTATCTTAAAAAGAGTTGCCTATATCATCAGGTATAATAGAATTGAACAAAACGGTACAGAACAAGACCAATAAAACCTACATTGGAGACCTTACAGAACTTCAAAAGAAGATAATAGTCAAACCATAATGGGCATCATAGTAAATCTTATTGCCTTCAAAGTGGTTGCCTATACCCTCAAACTTGATACTATCAAACAAAACAGAATATAGTAAAGTCAGTCAGAACAAGATGGGGAGAGCAATACTGGGGTTCAAATCAGGTTGATAGGAAAACAAAAAAGTTACTATAATATATCCCGCTATTTTTTAATTTAGTTTTCCCTTAATTAAAAAATAAGAAAAAATAAATTAATTTTTAAAAAAGGAAAAAAAAGGAGGAGATTGAGATAAAAGAGGACACAGTAACAGAACAACACAGGTAAGAACCAAACAATTTAAGCATCATTATGTTTCACCGCCAGATAACCTGACATAATAGTAGTCACCATAGTGTCTCTTTCCTTGAATTATTTGAGTATAACTTCGTATACTAGAGCTTCAAACATATCAAGACAGTGTGAAACCATTCAAGAGAATGAAAGAATTACAGGGTATTTAGAACCAGCTAACACAAAACCAACAATGGTTTCTCTAATATTTGTTTGCCTATAAAAATTTTGTTTATACTATCGCATATAGTAAAATATAATAAGATACAACATGTTAAAACCAATGGAAATAGATGAGCAACAGCTTGATAGGACTTCAAAGCAAGATGATATTAAATGAGCACTAGCTATTATGGTATCTTGTTTTCTTCATAGTAGCTATTCCTACTATCACAGACAATAAAATTGAACAACCCAGATTAAAACCATTTCAATTAATGAGTGAAAACATTATATGGCTTCAAACCAATATGATTCGGAATCATGATTACCACATACTTTTATGTATTCTTATCATTTCTTACACTGGGGAAATTATTTGGTATTTATACATGTGAGTTTGATTTATTTCACTTACGAGTATGGTCTCAAGCCGCATCCATTTATTTATAAATATCTCAATGTGATCATTCTTTATAGCTGAGTAGTACTCCATTGTATAAAAATACCACAACTTTTTTATCCATTCCTCAGTTGATGGACACTTAGGTTGTTTCCAAGTTCTGGCTATTACAAATTGTGCTGCTATAAACATGGGTGCACATATATCACTGTGGTATGATGCTTTCAGCTCTTCTGGGAATATGCCTAGAACTGGAATAGCTGAGTCAAATGGGGCTTCCAATCCCAGCAATCTGAGAAATCTCCAGACTGACCTCCACAATGGTTGCACCAGTCTACACTCCCACCAACAGTGCAGGAGAGTTCCTTTTTCCCCATGCCCTCTCCAGCATTTATTGTTGGTGGTTTTCTTGATCTTGGCCATTCTCTCAGGAGTGAGATGAAATCTCAGTGTGGTTTTAATTTGCATTTCTCTAATGACTAATGATGATGAATATTTTTTCATGTATTTATTTGTCGTTTTTATTTCTTCATCTGAGAATTGTGTATTCATCTCAGATGCCCATTTTTGGATTTGATCTTTGAATTTTGGGGGCCTGATTTTTTAAAATTTCTTTTTATATGTTTTAGACAGAAGTCCTTTGTCTGAGGCACAGTTCCCTAAGATTTTTTTCCCAGTTTGTGGGTTTTCTTTTCACTATGCTGGAGATTTCTTTTGATGTGCAGAAACTTTTTAATAAGAGGTGATCCCAATAATTGACTATGGGAAGTATTTCCCATGTGGTTTGAGTCCTGTTCATGAATTCTCTACCTACTCCTATGTCTTCAAGGTTTTTACCCAATTTGTCTTCCAATAAATTTAGTGTTTCTGTTTTAATATTTAGATCTTTGATCCACTTAGGTTTTATTTTAGTACATGGGTCTAGTTTTAGGCATGGGTCTAGTTTTAGTTTCCAGCATATGGAGAGCCAGTTTTTCCAACACCATTTATTAAACAAGACTGTCGTTCTTCCAATGAACATGTTTGGCCCCTTTATCAAAGATAAGGTGATTGAGTGTGTTCGTAGTTGTGATGATATCTTCTAATCTATTCCACTGATCTTCGGCTCTGTTTTGGTTCCAGTACCATGTTGATTTTACTACAGTTGCTTTGTAGTATAACTTCAAGTCATGGATGGTGATGCCTCCTGCCTTGCCTTTGCTGCTTAGAACTGTCCTTGCTATTCCAGGTCTCTTCTCGCTCCAGATAAATTTTAGGAGTGATTTCTCAAGATCTATGAGGTATGTTGATGGTATTTTTTTTTTTTTTGTCTTTTTCCTTTTTATCAGTACCAGGGATCGAACTCACGACTGCCTGCTTGCAAGGCAGGCACTTATGGGATTGTATTGAATCTGTATAACAGTTTTGGGAGAATGGCCATTTTCACAATATTTATTCTTCCTATCCATGAGCAAGGGACGTCTTTCCATTTTCTGAGATCACCTTCAATTTCATTTTTCAGTGTATTATAATTTTCCTTATATAGGTCTTTCACTTCTTTTGTGAGAGTAATTCCTAAATATTTCATTTTTTTTGATTGCTAGTGTGAAGGATGTGGCTTCTCTTATTTCTCTCTCTGTGATTTTGTTGTTAGTATGTAGTAGGAATGCTATTGATTTTGTATCCAGCCATATTGCTAAATTTATTTATTATATCTAGGAGTCTTTTAATGGAGTTTTGGGGGTCTTCTATGTAGAGTATCATGTCATCCTCAAATAATTTAACTTCCTCTTTTCCTATCTTTACCCCTTTTATTTCTCTCTTGTCTAATTGCTCTGGCTAGTATTTCCAGCACTATATTAAATAGGAGCGGTGATAAGGGATATCCTGGTCTTGTGCCTGATTTTAAAGTAAAGGCCTTCAATTTTTGGCCATTTAGTATGATACTGGCTGTTGGTTTGTCATAGATGGCCTTTATTATATTGAGGTAAAGACCATCTATTCCAATTTTCTACAGGGTTCTTATAAATGAATGTTGGACCTTATCAAAAGCTTTTTCTGCATCTATAGAAATGATCATGTGATTCTTACTTTTGGCTCTATTGATATGGTGGATTACATTTATTGATTTACGTATGTTGAACCATCCCTGCATGCCTGGGATGAATCCCACTTGGTCATGGTGTATGATCTTCTTGATGATTTGCTGCATCCTATTTGCTAATATTTTATTGAGGATTTTTGCATTTGTGTTCTTTAGGGAGATTGGTCTGTAGTTCTCTTTTTCAGTTGGGTCTTTCTCACGTTTTGGTACTAGAGTAATATTTACTTCTAGGAACGATTTAGGAAGGATTGCTTCCCTTTCAATTTCATTGAAGAGTTTGAGGAGTGTTGGCATTAGGTCTTTGTATTTCTTGCAGAATTCTGCAGTAAATCTGTCTGGGCCTGGGCTCTTCTTTGTAGGTAAGGACTTAATTACATTTTCAATTTCATTAATAGAAATTGGGTTATTCAGTAGTTTTACATTTTCTTGCCCTAGCTTTGGTACTTCATATGCTTCTAGGAATCTGTCTATTTGCTCTGTGTTATCAAACCTTTGAGTTTAGAGGGGGCACATTTTAGATACACATTCCTCATAGGGAATGTGAACCTGTACATGACGCATCTCGCAGTTCTCCTCCCTTTCAACCGCTCTTCCCCTCATTTACAGAAGCTCTGGAGAGCTGAGTTTGAGCCCAGCATGAGCAATTTAGAAATTTAAGGAACAGCCCTGGCCCCAAATTGAAGCCAGACAGGCAGAGGAGGTAGCCCAGCACGGAGGCTCTGGCGGGGCTCAAACCTCAGTAAAGCACGCGCACGTGCACGCGCACACTCACGCAGCGGCCTCCTTGGAGCCGCCCCGCCCACCCCGCCCTCACGTCACCGGTCAGTCGCTTCTGCGCAGGAAAATGGCCGCCGGCAGTGGGGAGGGCACCTTGCTCGCCGCCTGCTCCGCTGCGCCAGTCCCCTGACACCGCCCACGGTGCTGCCGCCGGGTTCCACCGCGTTGAGGCGCCGTCCTGGAGGCGGTTGTTTGTGAGACGGTGAGAGTGAAGGCGGCCGCAGGGGTCCGCGGGTGATGGGAGGAGGCGAGGGCGCGGGTGAGGTGGGGTCTCGGGGCGAGCCGGCTGGGCAAGGTCGGGGGTCGGGAGTCAGGGGGCTATGGCGTCCATGAGGGCTGCTCGGGCACCCCGGGCGATCGAGTCGTGTTCTCGGGAGGAGTCGGCGCTGTCCGGGCTCCGGAAGGTCCGGGATTCGGCGTGTCTTTGGCCAGACTTCGCTGTCCTCAGGGCGGCGGGTCGGAGCGAAGGACGCTGGTGCAGTGGCTTCGGCTCCCTCGCCCCTACCTCCTGGAGAATCCCGTCACTGGGGCCGCATCCCTCCTGTGGCGGGGTGTTACTGTATTCTCCCCCGCGCACCATTGCTGCATTGTCTTGGGCGGACTTTTAATTCAGCACTGCGCCGGAGAACCCCAGCGAACTGGGGACCTCTGCTGCCCGGGCTGCTCTGGCAGCCAGCCACGTTGTAGTTTTTATTCTTTTAAGTTGTTTGGCCATCGCGAGAGGCTTAAGTGGTGAAGAATATTTTCTTATTAAACACTATTTATGGACTCTTCGCGCCCTAGAGGCGCTTGTTAATGCAGGTTTTTTCGCTACCTACGGTCACCAGTGGTAATTGTTCCGCCTGGGGTGTGGCTTGAGTTGCTCCTTGGCATGAGTCTGATGTTCTAGGTTCTGCCCAAATTTGACAACAGCGAAGACCAGAAATTAGCAGGTATTTTTTTAAGCACCTGTGGGGGGTTTTCGTGCGGAGCAGAGGTTTTTTTTGGGTGTGTGTGTGGGAACTGCGGCAAGGTGTGTTCTTTGTTCTCTAGCTTGCTAGTGTGCACTTAATCTTTTGTGGTGTTTGTTTGCGGTGCTTGTTGAAACGTCACTTTCTACCGAACAGGGTTTTCTGGGGAGGGGAAGTGTCCAGTACTTGACCGGTTTTGCAAACCATTTGGAGGCACTAGTTTGAGGGTCTATTTGTACGGGTCTTTCCAGATTTATCTTTTCTAATATGGGGAGGGTTTCTCCAGCCCTGCTTTTTCCCAGCACTTCACCTTCTTCTTGGGTCAGCCACCCCAGGACAGTGCTCCTGCAGCCTTGGTGAGGGCAGGGAGTGGGCATAAGCATCAGAGAAACCTGGCTCTTCCTCCTGCCTATGTCTCGTTAGTGACAGCAAGGTGTCTAGTCATATGGGTGTGGCTTGTGGTCATCTGTGACCTTTTTTCTTTTAGTCACATGATTTTTAAAACTGGTTTCATCCAGAATGTCTTCTGGAGATTTTGGTGGATCCAAAAGCTCAAATGCTAGGGATTCTGTGCTGTCCAAAGTAATGATATTTTCCATTTCTTCTCTATTCCCATTCCCTGCGTCCTCTTCGGTGGGCCTGTGATTGGCGCCTGGAGTTCTGGTTGTTTGTGTTTGCCCAGTCTGGTGGCAAACACCTCGAGGAGATAAGTTTGTGTCTGAGCGCACCACCTCCCTCTCCCTCTTTTTGCTACAGAGGGTTTCTCCCCTCATGACTTGCAGTAGAGGGCTGAGAAATCAAGAAACAGAGACCTCAGTTGAGAGGAGACTCAGAGGACTAGATGAGCAGCTGGAGTCCTCAGCAGCCCCACGCTGCCAGGCCATACTGCTTGTGTCTCTTGAGAGGACTTACGTTCTCTGTCTCTGTTGGATTTGCTCTCTGCTGACTGCAGAACCGCACTGTTTTACACACGGCCCACAGTGGCTGGCTCAGCCGCGGTTTTAATTCCGGTTCCAGATTTACCTGCTTGTCTTTTTGTGCAACATGTGGACAGGTCCTGTGTGTGTCGGTGACAGCAGAGAAAGTGGTGGTTGAGAGGGCAGGGCTGTGGTGGGGCAGAGGCCTGAGCCTGAATACTTGGAGAAGTCACAGGTGAACCCACCGTAAGTCACACTTCGCACCTGTGTGGCTCCTTCCTGTTACTCACTATCTCCTGGGCACCGGGTAGGAGGCAGCCACCAGGTCAGCAATCAACGGTCAGTGGTCAGCGTTCCGCATCTGTGTTGAGGCTTCTGCTTGGCATGCCCTGGCTCGTTTCCTACCTCACGTATTCCTTCAGGTCTGCACAAGTGACCCTTCTGTGCCATCATAGCCAGGGTGGTAGCTTCTTTTCTGAACTCAGAGCACTTTGGGTTCCTCTAGCACTGTTCTTCCTTCAGTGATAGCTCAGGTTTATCACCTTGCTGCAGCGTTTGCTTTTGCATGCTGTTAGATAGGTTACTTAGGTGTGCAAACCTATTTTGTCCTTTGTAAAATGAACATAGTACTTATTCTACAGAACTACTGGAGATTTAAAAGCATAGCTATAAAATGTCTTGGGAGCTAGAGTGACATGTGAATTCTGTTGTCATGGAAGGCTCTTTTGTGAACTGAGCCCGTGGAGGGTACTCTATAATAGTCTGCTACAGGCTGGCCTGGCTCCTGTGTATAGCGATGCAGTGTTCTAGACCATTCGTCACTGTCAGGGAGTACTTCACGTAAACAACTGAAAGGAAGACATGATGTGTTCTGGCTCGTAGTTTCAGGGGCTTCAGTCTATGATCTGCTGCTCCAAAGCAGAACTGTGATGGTGGAGGGTGAGGAAGAAGGAAAGCAGGAGCTGCACGGTATTCAGGAAGCAGAGAGAAGAGAAGGGGAGGGAGGAGAGAGTCAGGGACAAGAGTATCCCCTCCCAGATCAGCCCCAGTGACCTGCCAGCTCCAGCTAGCCTGCTCATCCTGAGAGCTTGATTCTTCCCCAGCCTCTGAACCCATAAGCCTTTGGTGGACCTTTGCAATCCAGACCATGGCAGTGCCGCAGGCATTAATTCGCAGACGGGTGGAACCTGCCCTTTGACTTCCTTCCCCTGGGATCCGTTGACCCCTCCTCTGTCTTGGGCAGCAGGTCAGGCAGTGGCAGAGCAGCTGGAGGTCCTCACCCAAGCTGGGATGCAATTTTTATTTTAATTTTTAACTTACGGAAGATGCACAAGAATAGCACAGTGAACTCTCTTACGCCGCACTTGGATTCATCAGCTGTGAAATTAAAGTTTAGTGGTGCTAAGCGCCATTGAGAGGAACGGAGCAGGGCTTCCGTGGAGGAAGGATGGGGTGCTCAGATGACATTTGTGTGGGGCAGAGAGGGGATGGGAGGTGGAGAGGGCTGAGTGGTCAGCAGGGCCTGGCCTCTTTGCTGTCAGCCATTGCGAAGAGTCAGGATTTGGTTTTGAGCAGGGGGGCAGCAGGCGGGGTTTGGAGACTCCCACTTTGGGAGAGTCCCTGGGCAGATGTGGAGAGCTAGGGCTGCCACCAGGCTTGAGTGCTGGCCCTGGGACGGGTCTGGGGATTGTGCTTGGGCCACTCACTGGGAATGTTCGTGGGAGAAGAAGGGGGTTGGATTGGCCCCTGCAGGAGGCCACAAGCAGGACATGCTGTGTTGCACCTGGCTTCCATGTTATTGGATTCGAGAGGCAGAGTACCAGGGCCGTTGTGGCTGGGTTTCTCAGTGGGGATGAGAAGGTGCTGACCCCCAGACCCTTTTTAGAAGACATTTTGAATATGCCAGAAGAGTGAGCTGTTGCTGTTGTTGTGCTGTTAAATTTGTTCACAGACCCCAGAGATGAGCTCCCTGTAGCTCCTGCTGTTGACCATCGGTGCCTTGTAAAAGCTCATATCAGGCCAGCATCAGGCCAGGCTTTGCTGTTGAGCGAGAGGGTGAAGGAGCGTTGCGCTCTGTTAGAAGCTGCCATGATGGAGTGAGTTAAGGGGTACAGTGTCTTCCGTGGGCCAGGGATGGTGGCAGTGCTGGCTGCTTGGTGTGGAACAGAAGGACATAGTGCTTGCCCTTCAAGTGCCATGATCTGTGTCATAGTGGGACAGCTGCTAGACAGAACAAGCTTAGGAAGGTGCTGGAAGGAAACAGAATGGGTCCTGTGATGAAGACAGATGGGTTAGGGGAGCTAGCGGAAGGGCACTTGGGAAATTCTAATATTCTGCTGTGCCATCAGATCCCAGGATTAGTGCTGGGTTTCTCAAGCTCCTGTGCTAGGCCTCTGTGTGTAACTGCGTAGGTATTTTGGGGTGGGGAAATGGAGGAAGTCAGGCAAGAAGCCTGCTCTGGGTGACATCACAGCAAGTGCAAAGGGGCCTCACCAACCCAGTCTGGTCCCGGGGGTGCAGGCTTCTACCTCCTACCCAGAGCTACTCATACAAAGAGCCTTTGTGTTTTCTTCTGTGGTCCTGGGAATGGAACCCAGAGCCTCCCCCTGAGCTACCTTTCCAGTCTTTTTTATTTTTTGAGACAGGTCTTACTCAACAGACACTAAATTGCCCAGATTGAGCTTAAACTTGGGACCCTTCTGCCTCAGCCTCCCAGAGTACTGGGATTGCAGGTATGTGCCACCACGCCCAGCTGCACATTTTTCTTCCTATGATGAAGTGTCTGTGTCTTTTTTTCTATCTTAGTAAAGTGCTTCCTGAGGTGCTGAGTCAGGCATAGCAGTGCACATGTGCATGGAGGCCAAGTGTGTCACCTCCTTGCTGCAGCCCTGCATGTTAGGAAGAATGGTTCTAGCAGAGAGCACTATACCCCTCTCTTCCCCCATTGTGTTCCTGCATCCACCCTGTCACACGTGGGGGCTGTACTGTCACACAGACCATACTGTGCTTGTCATCCTTGCTGTGGTAATGTGCTGTAGGTCCTGCTCTGCGGGTGCAAGCACCCCTTTTCTCTGGTGTGTGGATGCTTATGTAGGTAACTACACACCAGCAAGCCGTGGGCTCCTCCTGTCCAGGGTACCCACGGAGCACCATGAGGTCTGGTCTGTCAGCAGTGGGCACTGTGAGGGTGGACCCCAAGCTGGGGTGGAGCAGCCCGAGGAGGTAGGCCTTGCTTCAGTGCTCCAGGCTCTGGGGTGACTCTGGAACTGGATGTTTTAACTCTTAGAAGGCAGGCAGGAGCAAGGCTGCAGGTATCCCTGGAAAAGCAGCGATCATCCCGTTAGCCTGGATGGGGAACTGTTGGGTGCTTCGTGGTCGGTCAGTGTTCAGAGGGAGTCCAGAGTGGTCTCGCCTTTGTCCCATGTCATGGTCACAGAAGGATGCTGTCTGAGGGTGCTTCCCCAGAAACTCTCTCTGCTCCCTCTAGAGCACTGAGGCCAGGACCCGCCACTCAGGGTCAGGTGCTTTCTGTCCCTGGTCCCTGCTCCCCAGGCCCTGGTCCAGCCTTGAGTACCGGGGACGAGGAGAGTTGGCTGTGGTGCTTGCTGTCTCTGTCCAGGTGTGTGCACAGCTGTGAGTCCTGGGGGAGGATGGTGGCCACTTGAGGAAGATATCATGGGGGAAGATATCCCAGATATTGGGCTCCTCTGTCCCCCTTACAGCTATGCCACTGTGTCTGATCGCAGCATCCTTCCTGGGCTCTGGGTGGCAGGAAGAGGGCAGGGGCTTGTGCTAGGGCGTTGTGAGTGTAGGACTAGCGCAGGTGAGATGCGCTCTGCAGGCTGAGACAGGTGGATTTATTGGTAGGCAGGCCGTGAGAGGAAGCAGGAGGTCACGGATGCTTCCAAAGTGTGGAGCCCCAAAGCAGAGTGTGGGTGCTGTAGAGCGTCAGCCTGGAGGCAGCACGGGGAGCAGGGGCTTGCTTCACACTCAGGGTGATGAAGAGTATTCGGAATGGCCTGGGTCCAGGCCCGGGTTGTGTTGAGTTCAGAGTGAGCTGCATCTTGGGGAAAAACCTGTTCCGTCAGCATCATGTCTGCCGAATGCCAGCACCAAGGATTGGGACTGGGGATATGCTTAGTAGTGAGTTAGCTCTTTTCTAACCACAGATGATGTACATTTCCTCTATTTTAATAGGTATTGCAATAAAGATAATTACAACTTTCTGCGAAAATGTCAGTTCTGATATCACAGAGTGTGATAAACTATGTGGAGGAGGAAAACATTCCTGCTCTGAAAGCTCTCCTCGAAAAGTGCAAAGATGTCGATGAGAGAAATGAGGTAAGACCCAGTTTCTAAACACAAGTGTTTGTCAACTGTCCTGTCCGTATAAGGCACTGCACTGTGTGGCTGGGGGAGTAAGGATAAATGAGTGGTCTCACCCCTCATCAGATGACTGACCATCGAACTTGCAATTTCAGGTGGGCCTCTAGATCCTTGATAGAATGTGCATTCTAGAAAACTGAAATGTTTCTAGGGATCTAGGGAGCCTCTAGGAGGCAGTCATCCTATAAATAGATAAGCCAGGCAACACTAAGACTTTTAAGATATCTTCTCCAATTAAAACCGATCAGAAACCTAGAGGGAAGACCTAAACCTTGGTAACTCTTTGAAGAAAGTGTAAGGGAAATAATTCAAGTCACAGGGTAGAGACTTCCTGAATAGCACAGGAATTAATGGCAGGAAGGGACAGATGGGCTCTGGGGAATGCAGAGCTCCTCACTGCACCAGAAACTGGCTGTAGCAGGGGACACAGCCCGCAGGCCACAGATTACCAGTCAGGACCTGCAGGAACTCCAGACACTGTGACAACAGAAAGCAGATAGCTGGCCACTTAGTGGGCAGATGGACTCCGCAGATGTGTTTCAAAGGAAGTAAAATGGTCCGGGACCTTAGCATCGTATTTCCAGTGCAGTGTGATTTTTTTTTTTTTTTTGCCAGCAGATACGATGGGCGAGCAGTGGTATCTTACACCTGCCTGTCCATCTGTGTGTATTGGCACGTAGGTGCAAGTGTGTGCCCATATGTGTGCTGCGTGTAGATGGGTAAAATCTTTTTGTGGTACTGGGATCGAACCCAGGACCTTCCATGTGCCAGCAAGTGCTGCCCCTGAGCTATGTCTCCAGCTCTGTCTTTTTATTCTGAGACAGGGTCTCACTCAGTTGCCCAGGCTGACCTTGAACTTGTAATCTTCCTGCATCAGCCTCTTGAATAGCTGGGGTTACAGGCATGTACCACTGTGCCTGGCAGTTAAAGAGTTTTGTTGAGAGATGTTTATTATGGTAAAAAAGCACATAAAATGAAATTTACCATTTTAAATACTTTTATGTTTTTTAAATGTGCAGTTGGGTAGTCTTAAGTGTTTTCTTTTTGGTTGGTTTGTTGATTTTTTTGTTTTTTGAGACAGGATTTCCCTATATAGTCCAGACTGGCTTGAATTAGCAGTGATCCTCCTGCCTCAGCCTCTCAAGTGCTGGGATTATAGGTGTGCCACCGTGCCGGGCTTTTTGTTTTTTTCCAGACAAGGTCTCCTTGTGTAGGTCTGGCTGGCCTTGAACTTACTATGGATCCCAGGCTGGACTTGAAATCTCAGTGATCCTCCTGCCTCAGCCTCCTGAGTGCTGAGATTAAAGGCATGTGTCTCCTTGCCTACCCTGGTAAAACTCAGATTTTAACCCTGCTTGTTTTACTTTCACACTGTCATGTGTTTACGCTTTCCCACCTTTATGGTGTCAAGATCAAATCCACCTAATATTAATGCTCAGTTTTAATACTGTGTGTATTTCTAATGTTTCTTTTTTTTTTTTTTTTTTTGTCTATTTTCCTTTTTATCGGTACCAGGGATCGAACTCACGACTGCCTGCTTGCAAGGCAGGTGCTTATGCCACTGAGCTAAATCCCCAGCCCCTTAATGTTTCTTTGTTTAATGTATTTTTGGTTAGTTAACATCACACCTTTCAGTGATCGTGAATAGAGAAGAATTTTTATAAATGAAATTACCTTCATGTAAGATATTTTATTCGCATATTGAGGGTAACAAAATGTGTTAGTTTAAAAATACTATTCTGGGCCTGGCATGGTGGCACATGCCTACAATCCCAGGAATCAGGAGGCTAGGGCAGGAGGATCACTATGAGGCCAAGGCCAGCCTGGGCTCCACAGAGAGACCACATCTCAAACATCTCCCCCCCCAAAATAAGTAGAAATAGGAAGCTAGAAACTTCTGGTTGGGCTTCTGGCAGCTCTGTGGGTGCCTGCCTTCTACCAGGCCTGCCCTGACCTGGCTGCATGTGTCTCCGAGGCCCACAGGCTGGCAGCTGCCGCACATCCTCCTGTCATGAGGCTCTGGAAGCCAGCACGTTCAGGCCAGGGTTGGTACATGGCAAGGATATTCCCGCTGATGTCCTGGTGGGGCGAAGGTGTCCCGTGGGGGACAGGCAGTGAGGAGGAGAGGAGGGGCCAGCCCCCTTTTTGGAGCTGGGACTCCTGCATTGGTTTTGGATGGGGTGCATTGTCAGGCTGGGCCCCTGAGTCCCCTCTGCTCCGCAGTGTGGGCAGACGCCGCTGATGATCGCCGCTGAGCAGGGCAACCTGGAGATAGTGAAGGAGTTGATCAAGAGTGGTGCCAACTGCAACCTGGAGGACCTGGTGCGTGCCCAGTGCATCCCTGCGTGTCCCCTTTCTCCTTCCGAGGTCCACTGCTGTGCTTCTGAGGAGAGATTCAAGAGTAACTGATGAGTGTGTTACCTTTCCTGGCCTTGCATGCTGTCGCCTGTGTCCATGTGCTCCCGTGAACCAGGTGCTGTGAGCAGTGAGGGCGCAGGTGCATGGTTCTGGGGACACCTGTTGGTAACTTACCCTAATTCTCAGTGCCCATCATGGCACGGAGGACAACGCTCCACTGCTGAAGGAGAGTCACAGTTCAGAGGGTGTGTTTCCTCGCTTGTCTGCTTTCATGGAGTTGCTTTGTGGGCTACACAGCCACTTTAAATTAATGATCATTTGAATTACGTTACTCTCATAAATGAAAGTTAAAACAGGATTCTTGTACCTTTCATTTATAAAATGAAAGAGGATAGTTCTGTCCTTTGTCACAAACTTTCTGAGCTCACCCTGTGGAGTCCATGTGCCTCTGCTCTCAGGTCTGATTCCAAGGTCTCTAACGTCAGAGTACAGTCAGGACTGCCGGCTGCAGGGTTAGCTGTGGGGCAGAAGCCTCTTCTCTCCACCCAAGCACAGTGTGTGAGTAGCAGTGCAGGAACGGAAGGAGCAGCTACGAAGCCACTCCTTTACCACTCCTGCATTGTGCTAGCGATTCAGTAGCAGGAAGTGCTGCAGAGGGCTTCCGGGTTAGTTTCAGCAGCTCAGATCGTGTCCATCCAGTGTGATCAATTGGTACGTCAGCTCAGGTTGATTTTTTTCCTCCCTTTGAACTATGGCCTTTGGTTCTGAAGCCTGCCCTTTGTGTGTCTTCAAGGATAACTGGACAGCGCTTATCTCAGCTTCCAAGGAAGGACATGTGCACATTGTCGAGGAGCTGCTCAGGTGTGGGGTGAACGTGGAGCACCGCGACATGGTTTGTATGGGGTTCCTCATTTGAGTCCACTTGGCCTGGCGCTTATTAGCAGCCACAGGTCTTGTGCAGGCTTCTGGGTTCATGTGTATATGTGTATAAAAATAGTTAAGATAGTTACACGAGTGATTTCTCTGAGCTCACTGAAGAGGAAGATTTGTGCCCATGTTGTTTGGACAGTTGAATGCAGGTGTCTTGTGCTCTGGGTGAATGATTTGGAGATGACAGTGTGTAATGTATTGTTGCCCCCTGATTGATGAATTTTGAAATTTTGTTTTAGATTTCTCCTCTTCCTCTTCTTTTCTTTTTATCCTTGAAGTAAAATAAATAAAATGGATTTGGAAAATAAAAGGATATTATTGTGTTTTTTAGGATTTGAGGTAGAACATTGAAACAACTCTTTGTAGTGTTTTTTTTTTTTTTTGTCTTTTTCCTTTTTATCGGTAACCAGGAATCGAACTCACGACTGCTTGCTTGCAAGGCAGGTGCTTATGCCACTGAGCTAAATCCCCAGCCCCAACTCTTTGTAGTCTTAACCCCAGGTCTCATAATACCCTTTTAAACTGTTCCTAGTCATCATTTTCAGTTTAATTCAGCTTAAAATTCTGAAATGTCCTTTAAAAACAGCTCATTATTTTTTAGTATATTAGTGTTTTAGTACTTTTGTGAAAATTGTGTCCTTTAGGTAGGACTTTTAAGAATGATGTCCTGTAGATTTAAAAGTGTTTTTGCCAAGGGTAATGATTTTCAGAGTTGCTCTGTAGATCTCAGTGTAAATATAACTCTGCGCCAGCCTGCCATTGGTATGCGGTACACTTTGAACAAGACGTGACCCTTCGTTAGCACTGCACTCTGCTCGATGGTGGTGCTGGTTAAGGCGTGAGGGTGAGGAGAAGGATCAGTCAGGCTGGTCCTGGACAGTGTCTTGGCTTTTCAGAAGTGAGTCCCAGTGGCCAAAGAGAAGAAGCAATGACTGCCTTGGTGTTTGCAGTGGGTGTTGGTTGGCTGGTAGTGCCTTTAGTACAGTCAGTCTGAGTCCTTAAGCAACGACAGTGTTCCCCCGTCTCGCACTCAGCAGTGTGTCCCCCAGAGGTTCACCTCGGTAACCCTGGGCTTCAGTGTGCAGCGAGGGGGTGCTGTGCTTCTTGGCATGAGAACACCCTGCTGTAGTTTGGAGGTAAGATACTGGAGAGGGAGTGCCCAGAGACTGGCCATATCCTGGAAGGGGCTGGGGACCTGCCCCTTCTCCCTTCCATGTCCCTTGGGTGTCAGGAGGTGGATGGCCCTTTTTGCCATGGTTCTTCCTGTGACTCAGTGGTAGTGGTGCGAGGTGACCATAGCCTGAGACCTCTGAAGCCATGAGCCAGAGTCAGCCTGTCCTTCCAAAAAGTTGTTTATCTCAGGGCTTTTGTCACCGCAATAAGATTGTGCCTGTGTCCAAGGAGAAGTTTCAGATGTACTGCACAGAACTGCAGGGGAGGAGTTAACACTGGCGGGAGCTGGGTGGAACCTCAGGGGCAGGGGCATGCAGGGAGCCGGGTGGTCTCTGAGTCTTACTAGAGGCCTTGTGCCCATTGTCATTTGAGTAAATAACATGGGTTTTGACTGTGTGCCCAACTGCCTCTGGGTCCTCCATAGATGGGCCCCATGTCATTTAATCGACTCCATTGTACAAGTCCACACACTCAGGGTCAGTTTGATTCTCAGCACAGTTAAGGAACTTGAGGCTGCAGGTGAACGTCTGAAGTCACTAGCTGTTAGGTACCCGGAGAGGATGTGAGCTCAGGCTTGCCTCTTCCAGAGTCTTCTTCCTCTATTTTCTTTGTCCATCAGCAAGGGAGGAAGAAACTTTGAGGTCTGCATTGGCAGATCTGTAAAAACTTGGTAGGATTTTTAGAAAATTATGTCTTAAACTTACTTTCCCTCTTCCTCCTGTTTCTTCAGAACAGTGTTCACAAAGGATCTAAAATCCTCTGCTTGGTTTTAAAATGGCAGAAGTCAGGAAAACTGAGGACTCTGTCTTATAATAGCACTGCACTGAACCTCACAGGACTTGGGGTCAGAGCAGCTGTGGGCTGCGGGAAGGTGGAGGCCAGCAGCCTGAGCAGGGAGGGAGAGGAGAGGAGCAATGCTGGTGTCCAGGACACCTGTTGAGGAGTCTGCACCCAGTGCCAGTCTGGGAGTTCAGGAATTATGAAGCTGCTTCCAACTAAGCCTTCTCAGTCTTCTTACTGAGTGGATTTAGGTGTTGTTTCCTTGAGATTAACATTTTATCTCACAGGTAACTTTCTTGGAGAGTATTAAAATTTAAAGTGAGGCGTGGTATGTAAGATGTTCTGGGTGGACATTTCACAGGTTAAAACATTCGTGTAAGTCATGAATTGACTAAATGGCCAGGTCTGTAATTGACCTAAATAAATTTCTTCATGACCTTGTGAGTTTTGGAGAGTCCTTCTCTGGTATCTTTAGAATGTCCCTTTGTTTGGACTTGTCTCATGTTTCCCGTGATGAAGTCGAGGCTGTGCTTTGTTCTTGAGGACACTGCAGAGCTCAGTGCAGGAGCATGTGACACCAGCATGTGTACTGGCTGATGTTAACTCTGATCTCTTTATCCACCTACCCATCATCCATCTGTCCATCTGTTTGTCCATCATTCACCCATCTTATCATTCATTTACCCATCATCCATCTGTTCATTTACCCACCCATTGTCTGCCCATCATCCACCTCTCCACTCAAAAATCCATCTTTCCATCTGTCTATCTACCCATCCATTATCCATCATCCATCTGTCCATCCATCCGTCCATCTGTCATCCATCTATCCATCTGTCCATCCATTATCCCTCTGTCCACCTATCCATTTATCTGTTGACCCATCATCTATCCATCTACCCATCCACAGTGTGGTGGTTTTTTAGAAACATTCTCCTATGGTATAGTTTCCTGAGGTGTAGTGCATCGATGTGACCCCTAAACAATGCTGTGTGGCCTGCCCTGGCTCCACCACGTTGGTGTCCCCTTGTGATGTCCTTTGTGATCCAACCCTCAGCTGTCTGCCCTATCATGGCTGCCACTGATCTATTTTCTTTCTCTGTAGTTTTGACTTTCCCAGATTAGGATAAGCATTTTTTTTTATATGCTTTTTTTTTTTTTTTTATTGGTACCGGGGATTGAACTCATGACCGCCTGCTTGCAGGGCAGGTGCTTATGCCACTGAGCTAAATCCTCAGCCCCGGATAAGCATTTTTTTTAAAATCCTTTTTTAATGATGTTGAAACAGGATTAGAAGAATTAAGTGATTTATAGTCTCAGAACCAAATGTGAGTTGGTCCAAATACTAATTTTAGAAAGTGAACAGAACACTTGAGTCCTGAGTAAGCTTTGGTTACCCAGCCTGTTTTGTTGAATTGCATTGTAGCTGAAGAGAACACTACTCTGGAAGCTTAGGAACAGTGTGTTATCTCGCTGCCCATGACTTGCTGAGTCCAAAGGAAGTATTTGAATACAGAAAGTACTTAAATATTTAAATTCAGGGGTTACCTGAATTTGTTGGAATCCCTCCGGGAATGAAGTCTAAAGGCAAAGGAGAAAGAGGACAGCTAGGGACCTGGAAAGTTTCTGGAAACAAGGTTTTAAATAGCCAGAAGTTTTAGAAATTTTTAGAGTCCAACAGCAACATTCTGTTTTAGCTTTTGTAATACAGTACAAGGCTGAATTATTGGTGGATGTAAGAGATTTGATTGATTGTATGTTCTAGTGTCTACTTCTCTGGGGACTTGGGGAATTTAAAACTACATACTATCACCGTGGGGAAATGATGGCTTTGGTAAAGATACTCGTAGAAGGAACTCTGTGGTGTTCTCCTGCTCATGGTGACCCAGTTTGCTCTCTCTCTTTGCGCCAGGGCGGGTGGACCGCGCTCATGTGGGCCTGCTACAAAGGCCGCACCGATGTCGTGGAGCTACTGCTGTCTCATGGGGCTAACCCGAGCGTCACTGGTCTGGTAAGCATGAATGGAGGTGCGAACCAGGTGCTGTGCTTTCTGAAGGAGTGCTTCAGGCCAGTGGTGGCCAACTTCTAAGAGATGGATGCCCAGACCAACCCCAGAAGCCACTTAGCACAGAGTACCCATGCTGGACCTACACCTGAATCCTGACATTTTTGTTTAGAAAACAGCTCCTACACTAACATCTTTGTCCTCAGAGAAGAATACAGTAACTCGAGTGCTGTGGGTCCAGCAGCAGTGCCCTCAGCTGGCCTGCCTTGCAGTGACCCACGCATCTGAGTGCGTGGGACAGGGGTGGAGCTTGTTAGCTGGCTTTGGTTCTCCTCATCCGTCACTCACAGGGCACCGTTGGAGCTTGGGCGTTGGTTATGACTGTGTGCTCCCGGAAGAGGCCTTGGGACCCTAAGCCGTCTTGCCTGGTGGTTGTGCCATCTCTATGCATGCCGTGCTGTGGACAGTTGCACTCCCTTAGCTCCGCAGGCCTCCCTGAGCCCTGCCCCACCTGGACAGTCACCTTCCCTGCCCCAGTGCTGTGAGAAGGAGCATGTTTACCACATGGGGCTGAGATAGGCATGTCTCAGGTGCCAGTTGTGTTTTTAAATTGGAGAAAGGGCAGTAACTTGATTAAAAAAACCTCTTCTTTTACACCTGCTGGCACTTTCCTTAGCAAGCATGCACTGCAGACATCTACCTCACAGGTTTTCTCCCTCTTCTTCCATCTCCCTCCTCCCTCCTGCCCCCTCCATGCCAGCAGTACAGCGTTTACCCGATCATCTGGGCGGCCGGCAGAGGCCACGCGGACATAGTGCATCTCTTGCTGCAGAATGGAGCCAAAGTCAACTGCTCGGACAAGGTGAGTCAGCAGGGGCTACCTGCATTCCCCTTGGTCCTGGGAATGTGCTTAGTGTGACATTTTTGTGTTTTTGAGACAGGGTCTCACTGTATAGTTCAGGCTGGCCTTGAATTTACAGCGATCCTCCTGCCTCAGCTTCCCATGTGCTGGGATGATAGCACTGTGTTTTCGAATATTAGTACAGTGTGTATCGATACTTCTGTCACAGACAGAGCCCTTACCTGGCCCTGCCATGGTTCCTGAGTGGCCGGGTAGGGATGAGGGCATCCCGGACTTCTCCTGGGGAGCTCTCTGTCGTAGCGGACCTTCCTCACGCTTGTCTTGTGGCCTGCTCTGCACGGCTTCCTCAGTAACGGTTTGGTTCACTCTCCTGTGGAGCTCAGGATCCTAGAGCCCATCTCACGCTGCTGTTTCTTCCCAGATCAGCTTCCTGCTTGCTGCCGAGGCTCTGTGCTGTGGACACTGCAGGGTACCTCCTGTCCACATGCTGTTTCTCTGTGCCCACTGCTGTGTCCTTGCCACCTCAACCACTGAGCTCCTGTTTACTCTTGAGACTCACTTGAGTGTCACAGCAGGGTGACGTCGCACTCAGTGCTTCCTCCCCTTGGGGTGGAGAGCCTGCAACTCAGGGCCTCTCAGTGAGGTTGTTGATGCCTGCTCACCATGCAGTGTTTGTGCCATGAAGACAGAAATGTCTTTTTTTTATTTTCCTTTTTGATCATTTTGTGCTTCCATCATTTCCATTAGCCATCCTTGGGTTAATGGCCTTGTAGTCAAACAGGCACACACCTGTAATCTCAGCATTTTGTGAGGCCGAGACAAGAGAGTTGCAAGTTTCAGTGCAGCATGGGCAATTTCACCATTTAGTGTGACCCTGTCTCAGATAAAAAATGGTTGCAAAGGTAAAGCATGCAGCTCAGATCAAAGGCCCAGGTTTAGTTCCTAGGACTGTAGCAAGCAAACAAGCAGAACACAGCATAGCAAACAGTTGGTGAGCGCTGTGAGAGCAGCCATGTCCCTGATTATAGACATGTAGCAGAGGGATGAGTGATTAACCATCCATTCAGGGGAAGCAAGGAGAGAAATGGGGTTTATTATCTATGGTTAGAATTGTAAGTAGTGTAAATAAACATTGATCTGACCATGTGTGTTTTCCTTTGGTCAGTATGGAACCACGCCTTTGGTTTGGGCTGCCCGGAAAGGCCATCTGGAGTGTGTGAAGCATCTATTAGCCATGGGAGCTGACGTGGACCAAGAAGGCGCAGTGAGTACCCGTCACGCCCCAGGCCAGGGTGGTGAACCCCTGGCACCACGTGCTCCATGGTGGCCGTTGTCATTGGGAGCTGGGAAGGGTTTGCCAGTGCCATCCCGAGTACTGGGGGAGAGAACTGCTTTGTTTTTAACAGAGACCATATTTGAACTTTAGTGTTTGCCTGGGGAAATTTCTATCCAGTCTCTAAGCAGTACTAAGAATAAACAAGCACATCTGTTTCCCTAAGTGTACCCTATTATGAAAAACAGTAAGTGTATGTGTTTAAGGCTTTAGCACTAATACGTGTTGAGTTTCAGGAGAGTAAAAGTATAAAGACAAATGTTGTTAATTCTAATATAGGTTGTTTGGAAGGCTTTTCTGGTCAAATAATTTTAAACTTTAATTGTGGAAAAAAGTTTTTATGCTCTATGAAAATACTTTTAAAAACTTTACAACTTTTTGATGTTTCTGGACCATATTTTATTTTATTTCATTTTTTTCTGTCTAGTAAATGTTTAAAAATACAAGAAATTTTTTTTATTTGCTTTTGTTTTCGTACCAGGAGTTGAACTCATGGCCTCCGTGTGCCAGGTAGGCGCTAGGCCGCTGAGCCACAGTCGCGCCTGAGTCTTGATTTTAACAAGTCCAGCTTCATATTGTCATTTAGAGAACTAAACTTCCTCCTAGTCCCGTGACTCAGGAATCAGTGTACCTTCAGAAAATGAAAGTTGGCTCCTTGTCACTGTGCTGTCAGGAGTAACCTATGTGAAGGTGTCCGTTTTCCAGTGGCAGTGTGGACTGCATGTTTTCTAGACTGCCCAGCTCATTGGGCTTTTTTTTTCAGAACTCCATGACTGCACTCATTGTGGCCGTGAAGGGCGGTTACACACAGTCTGTCAAGGAGATCCTGAAGCGGAACCCAAATGTGAACCTGACTGACAAGGATGGGAACACGGCCCTGATGATCGCCTCGAAGGAGGGCCACACGGAAATCGTGCAGGACCTGCTGGATGCGGGTACCTATGTGAACATCCCGGACCGGGTAGGTCTGCTACCATCTGTCAGGGTCTTGGATGTGACAACCGCCCTTGCTCTGTCCAGGCCACATCCTCGTGCACCCTGAGGCTGGATGCAATGCGGTCGCCTGTCCTCACTGTGCTCCCACGGGTGTCCTTCCCAGCCAGTGTCACTCATGTTGGGCTCCGCCACCACCTTCCCCCTTTGGCCTCTGTAGATGTCCAAGTTCCTTCTCTCAGCCCAGTGACCTTCCAAGGGCTCACTGAGCTGTCCACTTCCATGGAGGGTCCATGTGACAAGCCAAGGGAGCAGATGTCCCCCCACTTCCACTCGGTGGCAGCCCTTTTACTCTTTATTTTGTGGCAGGATCTCAGCTGATGCTGCCCTCAGGTTCCGAGCTCAGCCTCTGTCCTGGCGTCCTCGGCATGCTCATTGCCCCTTGTGTTCCCACCCTACTCCCACAGTTCTCCTGGAAGTGGAAAACCTCACCCGGGCTCCCCCTCGGCCTGGATGCAGTTTCCCCCTTCTCTGCACTGCTGCCCCAAGACAGGTGCATCCCATGCTCCGGTATCTGCCCTGCCAGCACCTTCCCTCCCTGTGCCTTTGCAGGGCACTGGTTTCCCCGCCAGGCCTCTGTGCTTTCCATCTCCTGACTCCCATCTGCTGCCTTGGGTCAGCCTTCAGCTGACCAGTCCCTTTTCATCAAGTCATCCTGTTCTTCCTGTCTGGTTTTAGTGCACTGTGTGTAGTTTTTCCCTGCTAGGCTGTGACTTCACCCGGAGCCAGGCCCTTCCTGTCCGGTTGCCCAGAGCCTGGAATGCTGCCTGACTGCCATGTGCAGTGACACAGCCTCCCTGCGGCAGGTGCTTACCTGGGCTTTGTGGTGCTAACACGGCCTGCAGGCGCCTGCTCTGGGTCTTCAGGAACAGGCCCTTGGCCTCCTGACCCACTGTGCAGTGGCCTGCTTGTCCCTGAGGTGTGACTCTGCAGTGAGTCATAAGATATTTGTACCCGCTGGCAGAGTAGCCCTTGAGGTCATGGGAGATGGGATGAGGAGTACGTGTCCCTGGGGGATACTGCTGGAGGATGAGGCCTGGGCCACACTGGTGGGGCTGTGTCCTGGGGTGCAGGGCCTGTGGAACCTCAGTGCTGTGGATGCCGCCTCTGTCTGTGGGAATCAGGGGCTTTGGTTGTGGGACCTTAGCCCAAAGGACATTGGTGCTTGTTGGGTGCCTTGACAGCCACAGCGTCATTGTGTCTAGTTTACATCTGAGCCAGAGATGGTCTTCAGAGGGTGTAGATCCTGGGTGTTTGGTCTCTAAACTGTATTGTGGGGCCTCAGGACTTCTCGTCTTGAGGAGTCTGTAGTCCCTTACTCTGAGGACTGATAACGTCAGGTATTAGTGAAGTTACATGTTTGTTTTTCTAATTTGGAGATACTCCTTTTATAGAAAATACTCAGATCCCATCTGCTGTTGATAAATGAATACGCTAGACTCTGAGGCCATGCCCATTTGCTCTCACATCTGTGGACCTTGGCTTTTGTTTTTTCAGAGTGGCGATACTGTGTTGATTGGCGCCGTCAGAGGTGGGCATGTTGAAATCGTTCGTGCACTTCTCCAAAAGTATGCTGATATTGACATCCGAGGACAGGTACGTGCCACCCAGATTACCCCCCAAAATCATTTTTGAGTCAGATTAACAAAACCTGTACATAATGTTAAAGGAAAATTAATATGAGACTCTTCTCTTTAAGAACATGTATTGTAATCTGGGTGGTTTTAGTTATGTTTATTTTTATACTTTTATGTAAACATAAAAAGCGAGGCTGCAGGATGGTATATGATTGACTGATTAACTGACTGTTGAAAGGTTCCAGTGTAGGAGTCTCGGGGTGGGGAGAGAGTGTTAAAGAAGAAGGCCTTCCCAGGAAGGTAGAAGTAGGCAGAGTGAGGGGACACTGTCGCTCCTGACCGCTGGAAGGAAGGAGGCTGTTCCGGTATGGTGACATTAGGAGAACTGGGCACAGGAAGAGAGACAGCAAGGGCAGTGGAGGCCATGCCAGAAAGCTGGGCGGTGTCCGTGTTTCGGAGTAGGACCCCACTCATCTAAACTGTGGCCCATGAGTCACCTGGCGCCAGCAGAAGTCATTGCCTTTTGGGTTAAAACCATATGTAGGCTAAAGATGGCTTTTAGATCACCTGCTTCAGACTTCTGTCCATCTCCTGTGTGTCCATCTCTTGTCAGTGCTATTTCCCTGCTTCTGTCAGTTTTCTCTGCTGCACTCCAGCTCTGCTTCTCAGGTCTGTGTATTGATCCTTGGGGGACGAGACAGGATGCTGAGGGATCCATGTTACTCAGCCAGTGCAGGCACAGGGTGTGCAGAGCTGGACATAGGGGACAGTGCCCCCTCACCTGGTGTCGGTGAAGTGTGCTCTGTGTGGTAGCCTTAGTGACACTGGGCAATCCGTTTGCTGCTTAGGCGCAGAGGTCCACGAGTCCGAATGCATGGACGCCTTGTCCAGGGTTCTTCTGGAGCCAGGGTTTTTCCTGAATGCTGACTCCTCCCTGTAGTGTGACTCCTTACTATATCCTGTGGGCTTGCTCCCTGCAGTCAAGCACTGTTAGGTCTTCCAGGGTTTTTTCAGAAATAAATTTCTTAAAAATAAGTTCCAAGTAGCATAAAGATGAACATTACTTCCCACCATGCTACTTGTTGGACTAGCTTCAGGCAGAAATGCTAATGGTGTCTCATTCATGTTTAACCTGGGGTCTTACGCAACTGATTGTTTAATCACACAGGACAATAAGACTGCTTTGTACTGGGCTGTGGAAAAGGGGAATGCGACCATGGTGAGAGACATCCTACAGTGCAACCCTGACACTGAGATCTGCACAAAGGTACATGTGACATCCCTGTCCTGCAAGTGCCAGCGCCATGCTGAGTCCCCGCGCTGCTTGTAGTTCTGGTACCTGCCGTTGGCTCTAGAGCTCCATAGATTTGACTGATGATGCTCTGGGTTCAGTCGAGCAGCAGCTTTTTATCCTTTCGGGAGCTGTGTATTCATAGCAAAAGACTGTGTAACTTGTTAGTTAAATACTTTTCAGACAGTAGACCACCAGCTGTTCATAAATAGTGAGAAGGCTGGTTTTGGGGCACACACCTGTAATTTTGGTAGCTTCAGAGGTTGAAGCAGGAAGATTGCCAGTTTGAAGCCAGCCTGGGCAGTTTAGTGACACCCTGCCTCAAAATTGAAAAAGAAATGCATTTTTGGAAAAGGGTTGGGAGCGGAGCTTAGGGATCCCTGGCTTTAGCTCTCAGGGAAAAGAGGACCCTGGTGGATTTTTCCCCCAGATTCGTTTAAAAGACCATCGCAGATGGTTATTGATTCTGCATGCCAGTCAGCTCAGTCTATGTTCCTCTAACCATGTGATGGGCACAGGACTTATTAGGGCCCAGGGACGATACCGAGCCCATGGGTAGTAGTTTCCCATGAGAGATGCGTTTGGAACCCTGGACCGAAATGGCCGGAAGTCTTAAAGCCAATGAGGGGTTGTCCATGAGTCCAGCCTGTTTTGTCTGTGGGCCTGGAGCAGCTTGTTTTTTCAGTTCCTGTTTTTATCAGCAGCATCGGCAGCACATCTCCAGGGGAGTCAGGGCGTGGGCACCACACATCCTCATGCTGCCCATGTCTTCTCCTTCCCTGCCTCTGGCTCTAGAAGCCTCTGAAGGTGGTCCTACAGTGCCCGAGGGCAGCAGCCTTCCTGGGACACCTGCTGGCTCCCAGGTGGCACATTGACCATCTTGTTGTTCTGCTTCTCTTGGCCCCATGTCATGCTGTGATGGTGGGCAGCTTTCCTAACTCAGGAAGGTCAGGCCGGGTGGCCTCTTACTTCCCCTTCTTCCATTGGGAGGACGTCCTGAGCTCTGGTGAGGCTTTCCCGAGGCAAATGACAGCATTGCATGGTTTCCCTGCTGCTTGCAGGGGCAGGGCCTTCGGTTTACAGGTGTTGGTCTGCCTGGGTGTTGCCTTGGCCCTGAGCTCCATGGGGCCATCTCTGGAGTGCTGCTTGAGGTCAGTGGGGCATTCTGTGTCCAGCCAGGGAGGAAGAGTTACTTACATGCAGTGAGAGGCATGTGCAAGGGAGGACACGTTCTTCTTCATCTGTGAACTGTGTTTTCTTGAAGACACTATAAATGGTGACCCTTCCCAGCCTGAGCAATGGCTCAATGAGTGCTTTTGTGTGACATAAGGCACGGGGAAACAGAGCCAGTTATATTTCTCACCTGTGCCACAGGATGGTGAAACCCCGCTGATAAAGGCCACCAAGATGAGGAACATCGAAGTAGTGGAGCTGCTGCTGGACAAAGGGGCGAAGGTGTCTGCCGTGGATAAGGTAGGGTCCACTGGGAGCACCTTGTCCCTGCAGTGTGCTGGAAGGGGTTCCCAGGATGGCTCAGAGTGGCATGGGGGTCTGCCCTTGAGTACCCTGCAAGGAGCATCCTTGGGGCAGAACCCATACAGAGGGCCTGGAAGTGCCCTTGGAGGGACAGATGGTGGCTATGGGTGGAGCAGAGTTTTCCTGCTGCGCCTCTGCCAACCCTTTAGACAGCTTTCTTGGTTTCCTAATAAAATTAGCCCCAACATTATTTGATGCTTTCTTTGTGTAGATGTGAGCCCTGGTTTTAGCTCTCATTCTAAGCAGACTCAGATCTCTCTACTTCAGATTGATTTTGGCCCAGGAAAGATGGATGTAGGGACGAGAGAGCTTTAAATCTCCCATGTATGTGTGCCTTGGGCTTTCCTGGTTTGTGAAGTTAGCATTTATCCTTCTGTGCTTCTCTAGGCAGCGGAACAAGGACCGCAGGACCAGTGTGTCAGCTTTCTGTCCCACCAAGTAATGCTGGCTTTAAAAACAAAACAGCAAGGGGCTGGGGATTTAGCTCAGCGGCATAGGCGCTTTCCTTGCAAATGTGTGGTTATGAGTTTGATCCCTGGTACCGATAAAAACGAAAAAGACAAAAAACAAACAAAACAGAACAGCACCGGGGATGTGGCTCAGCGGCACAGCGCCTGCCTGGCAAGTGCAAGGTTCTGGGTTCAGTTCCCTGTATACTAAATAAAAACAAAACAAAAGACCCCATTCATTTTACTTCTGAATTGCTACAATACCGTGTGTAAAAAAGGAAACTTTAGTGTTAAAAATCAGGAAGACAAGAGAATTTACTCATAAGAATAAATTTACATGTGAAGTTGGCTTTCCTAGCACTCAAGTGGTTGCCCGCTGCAGCCCAGCAGGTGTTGTTTCCCCTGTCCTTTGAGACTGTGTATCTGGGGAAATGCTTTCACTTTAATTTGCCTTCTCACAGGCTCAGGGTGAGGAGGACGCCAAGAGGTGAGGGGCAGACAGTAAACTCTGGTGCCCATGCGTTGATTTGGGCGAGTGCTAAGACCACAGAAGGCTGTGGCTGCTGGATGATGGGCGGCGAGGGGCCATCTGGGATGGGGATGAGGACTTGGGGTGCGAGCCCCACTTCTTGGGGTGCGGCTGAGGTCCGCAGTGTGGGGACAGATGGCAGTGAGACGACATTAACTCTTGTGTGGCGTGTGTCACCTTGTGGATGTTTTTGTCACTGCTTGTTGTCCAGCCTCATGCTCTTACAGGATGCTGTATCAGGTCAGGAGTGTCCTCTTCAACTTCCTTTCCCCCAGAGTGCCACACACAAGGCAAGCAGGCAACAGGGCTGGGGAAGGCTCCAGAGAGGAAGGCACCTAGGAAAGAAGAAGAAAAAGCCAGCTGGGGAGTCCCCCCACCCTAGATTCAAACAGAGAGTTGGGCCACTGATGCCAAGAACTCTAGCTTGTTAAGTTTTGGTCGCTGGTCCTCTTCAAGAGAAGCGCAGCTCAGGAAGTAATAAGCAGAAGCACACCTTCTGCAGATAGGAGAGGTCTGTCTGCAGTGTTAGTTTTTCTCAGTGCTGTGTGTGGATGCTGATGAGACCAGAGGGTCCAGCTAGGGGAGAGAGGAGACTGACGTTCAGGACAGTGCGAGTGCACAAAGGTCCTGGGAGCAGGGTGGGTGCCATCGTAGGGCAAAGATAAAGATAGCCATGAGGTGGGTACACATGAGTTTGGAAGGTGGATGATGGCTTACCAGTGACTTTGGCCCTGGCCTGCAGGGTATGGAATAAGATCTGTCACTGCTCTTTCCTTGGGCTGAGGTGATGGGCCACCTTTGCTTGGGGGGCCAGGGGAGGCAGAGGTCCTGAGAAAAATGGATGAGGAACCAGAGAAAGAAACTGGGGAAGACAGATGCTGTGTTTGTACACACGATCAGTAGAAAGAGTGCACACTTCTGTTACCCTACGATGTGCTTGAGAATGTGACCTTGCATGCCTCCTGCTGTCACCTTACAGAAAGGAGACACTCCCCTGCACATCGCGATCCGAGGGCGGAGCCGGAAGCTGGCAGAACTTCTTCTGAGGAACCCCAAGGATGGCCGGCTGCTCTACAGGCCTAACAAGGCCGGAGAGACCCCATACAACATTGACTGCAGCCATCAGAAGAGCATCCTGACGCAGATATTTGGAGCCCGTAAGTGGCTTTTAGATTCCGAGTGTCCAGTGACAAGTAGGAAAAATAAAGGGCAGACTTCAGAGTGGTCATTTAACTGGCAGGTGTAAGGGCTGAGAAGCTTGCTGGTTCACTGTGGAGGACAGTCCCCCAATGCCTGAAGTCTTCTGCGTTGTGCTGTGGGTGCATTGAATCAGCAGTCAGCTTTTAGGACTGCTAGAAATCAGCCCACTTTCTACAAGGTTTTTGTGTGGTGTTGCCCAGGGTGCTTTGTGCCTTTCCCTGAGTGCAGTCTTCTGTGGGTGATAGCCCCCGTTTCCATGGTCCCCTGCTGTGCAGTGACATCTGCCAGATGAGGCCCAAGCTCTGTGAACGTCCTTCCTGCCACTGTCCCTCTCTGCCTTGGAGTCTGGCCCCTTCAGCTCTCCTGTGTCAGTGACATCTTTTGCCTTGTTGTGAATACTTAAGTCCTTGTGCTGTTTCCCTTTTCATACGTAGGGTCTGTGGCTTTTATTCTGTTCGTTTGAGATTGTTCTCCCTTCCACATTTTTGTTCTTCAGGGCTGAAGCTATTTCTACTTCTCTCCTTGCCCTCTTTAACACTCAGCCTAACGAATATTGCGCTGAAGTAGTTTTTGACTGAAAAGGCTGTGCACAAGACTAATCACCCGTACGTGATGTTTTCAGATATGTAGTAATTTTCCGCTGGAATTAAAGGAAAAGTATGTTCCAGAGTCCAACAGGAGAAACAGAATCCTGTCCCCTTCTTCAGCTTTTTATTCTTACCTTGTCCTTCAGTAGGACCCTGTGGTGTTGATAGTTTCTGCATTTTAGAATATTTTCTAATTGTAGTAATGCAGCCTCATTAAAGCTCAAGAATGAAGGCATGAATTTAGTAGAAAATGCGAATGCCTCCTTGTTTCCTATCTCCTGACTTGTAATTATTTGAATAATTCCTTCTGGGCTTTTCTTTACATATATTAGAATATTTTATATAGCTTTAAAAAAGAAAAATCAGGTCATAACATTATAAAAATTTCTAATGACCTGTACCATATTTTAATTGTTACGTATCTTTTTACCACAGATCTTGATAACATACCAACTCTCTGTGGATAAACCTTTGCTTAGTTTTGCTGTTAGCATGCTCTAGGGAACAGCTCTGGTGTATGCCTATTGTCTCTGCTTTTTATGGTTACTTTCTTGAGATAAATTCTAGAAGCAGAGCTGCCAGTTCAGTGGATGCCCACAGTTATGTTCACCTTCCCAACTGACTTAAAATGTTTTTCCTCTGGCAGCATAAGGTGGTACACGATCTTGCAGCCACAGTATGCCAACCTCTTCGTCTTTGCCCATTCGATTAAGAAGAACTCTAATTTTAATTTGTTTTAAAATTATTAGTCTTCATCGATTATTTACCATTTGTAGTCTTCATAGATCATTTACTATTTGTATTTTTGCCATTTTTCTTTTTGTATCATTTGCCTATACTTTTGAGTTTCTAATATTTTTTAAAAGTTGACTGTGTTTTTTGTATGTTAGGATTTTGATCTTAGATGCTGCCTAGATGTGGCATATGTCTCCCCCGGCTTACTCTTGCTTATGCCCATGGTTTTAAATTGTCCATCTAAAAATGTTTTCGTAGTTCATTCATAAATCTTTGCCTATAGTTTTGGCCTTACTATTATGTTGAGAAAGAAATGCATTTTCCAACAAAGATGTTTCAGTTTCAGCCACACTTTATTCTAGAATTTTTATGGTTTTTAATTTTTATGTGTAATTTTCTGATGTTTCAGAAACACTGATTTTGTTATGACTGTGAGGTGGGTAGTGTTTTAATTGCAGTTTTTACAGATGGGTGGCTGAGGTTTGGGGACACTGCATACCACATACCAGTTTATCCACTGGAACTGACATGTAGTGCGCCATCTGCTGGCACCTGTGCTGGGCCCTGCAGTGTCGTGGTGCCTCCATCTGCAGTGCCCATGAACCACAGCAGACTGTGCATGTTCTGTCTTAGCTTCTGACATGTTTTTCTCACTTTTCAGTTTGGACGCAGTTCTCAGATTGTGCATGGCACTGTTTTGAAGTAATGAGTTAGTGTGGGGAGAACTAGTGTCCCTAACACACTGACCCATGTTCTCTGAGGATCTATTGTATCTACTTTCTTTCCATGTGTGGATACTGCACATGCTGAACCTGTCTGTACACACTAATTTGTGTCAGTATTGCCGTAGTTTGTTGATGCTAAAGTGCATTGTGGTCCTCATGTTAAGGTCTGTGATTGGAAGGGTCCTGCAGCTGATGCATAAGAGAGCATCAGATGGCATTTTGGCAGCACTGTTTTTCATTATTGTACATAAAAGAGATGCAGTTTGTGATAAGAAGTGGTCCTCAGTTCCACAAAGTGTGGTATTTAGAAATCCCTGAACCTTTTTTTTGCGAATCTGAATGGTTTAAGGTTTTGTCTGCTCATAAGTGAAACGTGAGAACTGAGGTCCTGTAACAGCAGGGCTGCTATGGGAGGTGAGGCTGTGGTGTGTTTCACTTTCAGGACACTTGTCCCCTACGGAAACAGACGGCGACATGCTTGGCTATGACCTGTACAGCAGTGCACTGGCTGACATCCTCAGCGAGCCGACCATGCAGCCGCCCATCTGTGTGGGGCTGTATGCGCAGTGGGGGAGCGGGAAATCCTTCTTGCTCAAGAAGCTGGAAGGTGAGGACCGTGGGCAGCACAGCTGTTCTGTAGGAAGGAGAATGGGAGTTCTGAGGGCTGGCCGGGCCAGCTAGGGATCTCCTCGCCTCCCCTTGTTTCTCCCTGAGCCCTTTGAGTTTTCTTTCCATGAAAGCCTCAGCCCTGGGAAGCAGCAGGGAAAGCCTTGGTTGCGAGTCTCCGTCCTTTTCTCACTGCTGAGCCCGAACACCCAATACATGCAGCTGAAGGAGGACAGGTTTGTGTGGTGCACAGTGGGTGGAGCTTTCAGCTCAGAGCTGGGATCCAAGGCAGCAAGCTGCAAGTGACAGCAGCAAGTGGGAAGTGACTGCACCGGCCCTCTTTTTGTCCTTTGGATTTTATTCAAGGTGGGGGCACTGAGTCTTATCCAGAACTGTGTCAGACCAACCCATGGACCAATTCCATAGTCACACACCCTGACCCCAGAAACACAGGCTCTGGATGCAGCCACCTCTGCAAAGTGCCCCCTGTGAGTGCAGGGGCTTTGGGGGCCTCTAACCTTGGCACCTCAGGTCTCCTGGCCCCGCCCACATGGAGAGGCTGTGCGGCTCTGCCTGCCCCCTTCCCCGACTCCTGTGCACACTGTTCTGAGTCACGACCACTGTGTTGAGTCATTTAGTCACAACCAGAGCCTTTGCACCTGCAGCTGGGACGCTGTCCCTGAGTCGTGCCTCTCTCTAGAGTCCTTCCCTCAGCATACACACCTTGAGGTTGACAGATCACACTCCTCCTCCTTCAAGACAACGTTCCGTGCTGTGGCTAGTGATTGCCTTGGGTTCTATAGGAAGAGTGACTTGTGTCAGGTGTATTTGGGCTTCCTAGATCTTTGAGAACTGATTGTGTGTGTGTGTGTGTGTGTGTGTATGTGTGTGTGTTTGTGTATGGTACTGAAGGTTGACCCCAGGGCCTTCACACTGACCTCCATCTCCATCCATTTTTTAAAAACTTTTTTATTTTGAGGCAGGGTCTTGCTGAGTTGTCCAGGCAAGATTTGAACTCGAAGCCTTCCTGCCTCAGCCTCCCAAAGTGCTGGGGTTACAGGTGTGCACCGCCATGCCTGCCCGGGAACCCTGGTTCCTTATCACAGTTGTCAGGAGAGGCTCCCGTCTGACTGATGGAATCAGAGAGGCTTGGGGAAGGCACGCAGTTTGAGGACAGAGTATTGTTTGGTTTTGCCTGTGGAAACAACTCACTGTTGCTTTACAACCACAGAAATCCAAGATCAGCAGCCTCTGCCTGGGGGTTGTGCAGCCTCAGCATGCAGCAGGTCAGGGCTTGGTCCTCAGTGAAGTGGTTAGTTCCGTGCCCAGTGACAGCATGTGCTGAAAATGTGAAGATGGCACACCCAACACAGAGCTGTTTCTCACCCCAAAGAGGGTGGCGTTTCCGGGGCTTTGTCTTCCAGATGAGATGAAGACCTTCGCAGGCCAGCAGATCGAGCCTCTGTTTCAGTTCTCCTGGCTGATTGTGTTCCTGACGCTGCTGCTGTGTGGAGCAGTGGGATTGGTGTTCACCTTCACTCTGGACCTGAGCCTGGGCGTGGCGGTAGCCCTGAGCTGCCTGGCTCTTGTGTACATATTTCTAGGTGAGGCCTCGCTCTCTATTTGCTGTGGAAACAGAGAACACACCTGCTCGTTATTCATTGAATACTATCTAGTCTTTCCTTTAACATCTCCATATAGCTTTCTTTTTTTTGTCTTTTTCATTTTTATCGGTACCGGGGATCGAACTCACGACCGCCTGCTTGCAAGGCAGGTGCTTATGCCGCTGAGCTAAACCTCCAGCCCCCGTCTCCATATAGCTTTCATAATTGCTAGAGAAAACGGATCTTGTTTTGCCATTTTATACGCCAAAAGATTTATGCAATCTGAAGAGAAACCATAGTGCTCTTTTGTATTTTATAAAATGGTCTAAAGGAACATTTTGCCCACACTGTCTTAGAGTATGCTTTCCAGTTAGTTTACTATTGCCGGTGTTGAAGTAAGACTAATTCATTATGCTTAGTCTTTTACATGTTGATTAATGATATATTTAAGTCTTTTCTAAAGTCATCTTGGCATGCTCTGGAACATTTTTTGATAACTATTATTTTTATTTTGTCTAAAAGAAAAACTGCACATGGTAGTGCATGCCTATAATCGCAGCACTTGGGAGACTGAGGCAGAAGGATTGTTGCAAGTTCAAGACCAACCTGGGCTACTAAGTGAGCTCAAAGCTAGCTTGAACTACTCAGTGAGATCCAGTCTCAAACCAAAAATAAAAAAAAAACAAAGGAAAGGCTAGGGTGGGGCTTGGTGGTAGAGCTCTTGCTGTGCATGCTCAGGGCCCTTGGTTTGATCCCCAGCATTTCCACCACCAAAAATAACAAATAAATATATAAATAAATTAAAATTAAAAATTAAAGCAAAGAAAATAGAACATAATCTCCATTATTGAGAATGTCTTCTTTTTTTGTTTGTTTGTTTCGTTTCTTTGAGATGGGCTCTTGCTTTGTAGTTCCGGCTGGTTTTGAACTAGCTATATAGCCCAGGCTGGGCTTTAACTTGGGACAGTCCTCCTGACTCAGCCTCATAGTGCTGGGATGACAGGCACATGCCCCAGGCCTGGCTGGGAATCTCTCCTGTGGCAAGAAAAGAGATGGAGTCATTATTAGAGGAGCTGGTAGTTTCAGCAGTTGCCCCAGTGGCATTTGAGTCGGGACAATATCATGTCCTTGATGGTGATTTAAGATTCTATTTTGTCAGCTCCCTTTACATTTTGTATAAACTTCTGTAAGTGGTGGGCTTATAGTTCAGGAATTGGTCAGGGAGCAGTGAGGAGATATGGCTGTGTGCAGTTGGTATCACCACCGTAGCACGTGACTCTTAGGAGTGAAGAAGCTGCTTGACTGATGATTCTTTTTTGACATCTTCTATTTCAGTTGTCATTTACTTTGGTGGACGGCGGGAAGGAGAGAGCTGGAACTGGGCATGGGTCCTCAGCACCAGACTGGCGAGACACATTGGCTACTTGGAGCTCCTGTTCAAGCTGATGTTTGTGAACCCCCCAGAATTGCCAGAGCAGACCACCAAAGCTCTGCCCGTGAGGTGAGTTGGTCCACTTGGTGGAGTGGCCCCGAGCGAGACTTAGCCAAAACACCTTCCACTTGATAACGTGGTGCATTATGTTGCCGAGAATCCTGGTACCTTGAATCTTCTACGTGAAAAATAAAAGTGTACCCTGGTCAGATACATTTGGGAAACTCTGTGGCCTGTCTTCCTCTTGCACGTGAGGTCCCTCTTCCATAAAGAAACATGTTTCACTTTGATTAACCACGGCGTCCTCGTCGCCCATCTTGGAGCACTCTGAATTGAGAGTGGGTGTTGACAGAGGGCCCAGGAAGCCAGCTTACCTCCTGGAGCTGCGTTTCCTCATCTCTGGAAACCTGTGTTTCACATCCAGCAGGAAATGTATAAAAGCTAAAGATGAAAACCACTTAAGCCAAAGAGCAAGAAAAAGCACGGGACTCCAGAGGAAAATAAAATGAAAAAAAGTTGGAAACAAGGCCAAATGGGTTCGGTAGGTGTTAGGAAAAGAATTAAAATGCATTAAAAGATTAAGCACTTTAAAATTACAGTAAGATAAAATGTGTATGTTATTTGAGATGAAAATAAATAGCTTAGACCAGAGAAAACATCAAAACAATATAGGAGAGAAAAATGAAGGGTAAACCAGACATTGCAGCCCTGCCCTGCATTCTGCCTGCGTGGGCTCAGGCAGCCACAAATCAAGAGCATTTAAAACAGTGCAGTTGGAAAGGTACAGATTTCCTCATCACTGTTCTTTAAGCAGCACAGCTTAGCAGTCATTTGTAGAGTGTTTCTTTCATGCTGGGGAGTGGGGACCCTTGCCAGGAGGTGCGAGGGTTCTGCACAGATGCTGGGTGCTTGTGCAGAGGCCCGAGCAGGGCCTGTGGTGGTACCGTACCAAGGGACCCTGGAATTAGCTTGTGGGATTAAGCACCATGAGAACAATACATAATTGAGAGGTTTAAAGGAATAAACTCAGGAAAACTTAGGAGTTGAATAAAATTGGAAGAGATATCTTTATAGAAAATAAAAACTTTATTTTAAAGTGAGTAAAACAGAATGGTATACTGCCATCAGTTGCCCCTCAGAATACTCTCCTCACTTCAAAAACTTCCCCATGGTTTCCCCCACTCTGTGAAGCAGTTCTGGAAGTCCTCGTTCAAGAGTGTCTTAATTGTAGAGCCTGCATGTCCTGAGTAGACTCAGAACATTACCTTTTGTGGTTGTTTTGGCTGTGGGGAAGAGGAGGCTTTCAACAGTGCCAAGTGTGGTATGGGAATAAGCTGAGTGCATACCACAAAAAGAAAACAATAGAGACACTTGAATGTGCTAGCATTTTTAAGTTGAAACAACTAAAATAGCATCACCTAAGACTGCAACGTGTAACATTGTGATCTCAGATCTTTTCTCTTTTTGGGAGTTGGGGTGAGGGGTGGGGAGGAAGTCTCGCTGTGTAGTTGAGGCTGTCTTTGAACTCACCGTGTAGCCCAGGCTGGCCTTGGACTTGGTGATCTTCCTGCCTGTACCACCATGCCCAGCCCCGACTATGTCTTAAAAGCAGTGCTTGTCTATGGAGTTGGGGTGAGAGTTCGTTTACGGTTGGAAGGAGAGTGCAGAAGTGATGATCAGAGACTCAGGACAGATCATCCAGAAGAACAGCTGTGGAGAGAGCATCTTACAACTGTTTCTGCATCCCTGTTGGACGGGAAAGCTATAAAATCCGATACTTGAAAAGTTGAGGTTTTTTTTCGGCATTACTGGGCTTGACATGAGCAGTGACTATAGTAAGGGATATTCTCCTGGCCCTGATGTCTTCAGCTGGCGTTAGAGCTCTGCAGCTCTACTGCCTCCCCTGGCACAGCAGGCAGTGCCTCGAGGCTGCCCAGATACCTACGTTTTCCCTGGGGTTCCCTGCTTTAGTTCCTTGCTCTAACCAAGGTGTGAAGATGGTAGAAATAGACAGTGCCTGCTTGTGAGCTCTTTCCCTCCAAGGATTCTCAAGGCGTATTTTGGAAGGCATGGAGGGGAATGTCAGTGGGCAAGGTTGTTCCTGTGATGCTGAGGTAGCATCTCATGTCCCCCCATAGGTTTTTATTTACAGATTACAACAGACTGTCCAGCGTTGGCGGGGAGACGTCGCTGGCAGAGATGATCGCGACCCTCTCAGACGCCTGCGAGAGAGAATTTGGCTTTTTGGCAACCAGGCTGTTCCGTGTTTTCAAGACTGAGGAGAGCCAGGGTGGGATTCCTTTCCTGCCTTCCCCTTCCCCTCCCCCTCTCCCTCCCTCTCCTCTCCCTCTTTCCTCTCCCTGTCTCCCTCTCTCTCCTCTCCCCTCCTCCCCTCTCCTTTCCCCCTCCATTGGTGTTTGCACTTGCCCATGGGATGAATCTTTCATTTCTCTTTGTGAAAGCTCAGCTTGCACCTCAGTTAGCAGATGCTGGGACTGTAGCGGGCACTCCACGTGTTGGTTAGTAATTGCTCAAATCACTGGTTGTCTCACAGGTAAAAAGAAGTGGAAGAAGACATGTTGCCTGCCATCTTTCATCATCTTCCTCTTCCTCTTGGGCTGCATTGTGGCTGGGATCACCCTTCTGGCTGTCTTCAGGGTGGACTCACGACATCTGACAGTGAACGCAGTGCTCATATCCATGGCCTCGGTGGTGGGGCTGGCCTTCGTGCTGAACTGTCGCACGTGGTGGCAGGTGTTGGACTCGCTGCTGAACTCCCAGAGAAAACGGCTCCATCACGCTGCCTCCAGATTGCACAAGCTGAAAAGTGAAGGATTCATGAAAGTAAGACCCAGTTATGATGTGCCTATGTCCCCACTGCTCTGCTCTGCATGCTGGGGTTGAAGGAAATGCATTTGTAAAGTGATGAGGCAGTGCATGAACTGTTTAGTTTACAGCTGAGTTAAGAGGAAAGTACAGAAGTATGCTCCTGCCTCAGCCTCCCAGTGCTGGGATTACAGGTTTGTGCCACCACATCTGGCTGGTTCTTCTCTTCTCAGTTACTCTGACTGATTGACTGTCTCTAGTTAGTGCATTTAGACTGTTGACGTCAGAGATAATGGGCGTAGATGGGATTAGGTGCTGCCATTTTGGGGCTGTGTTTGCTGCCCTTATTCTTCATTGCTATAGTTGGTCTTTTCCTTTGGTGGTTTTTAAAAAAATTTTAAAGAGCATAAAACCAAACAACACAGTAAAGCCAATCAAAACAAAGCAGTAAAAGTGATATAGGACTTCAAAACAGGATAATAGGAAATCAAGAATGGTTATCATAATGCATCTTGATATCTTCAAAATTGCTGCCCATACCATCAGACATAATAAAATCAAACAAAGTAGAACAGAACAGAACCAATCAAAGCAAAATGTGGGATAAAAATAATAAAACGGAACAAAACAGCAGTATTGGATTTCAAAAATAAGATGGGAGGAAATCCCCCATCTTTGCTATAATGCATATTGTTATCCAGTCAGTAGATGCTCAGACTACCAGCTCTAGGCCTGCAAAGTCAGTCAGACAATTCAAGCATTCAGTTGCTTTTGTACTCAGTTGCTAACAGCTTAGCTTGTGTTCCTTTGAATCAGTTGGTCGCTTATGGTGGGGTGGATGTGTGGTGGTGGCGGCAGTGTACTTGTCTCCCAGCCTGCTTGCCAGTTGGCTCATGGGAAGGGTGAATTGGCTTCTTGTTTTTCCTTCTGTACCCAATTCCTTCAGTGGTTTTCATATTTCTTTTTTCATTAGCCCTGGAATTTTTTTTTTTTTTTTTGGTATTGGGATCAAACTCATGACCTCATGCTTGCCAGGCAGGCACTTATGCCACTGAGCTAAATCCCCAGCCCATAGCCCTGGAATTTGTAATACACATTTACAGATGATCCAAGCCCATTTTCAACACTATTACTCTGTATGTACCCCATTACAGGGATGATCCTATTCATCTCTCCTGCCCTTAGTATCTTTGCAATCATTAATTTCACATAGCTGTATAAATGTGTATGTGCCTAAGATTGTATTTGTCAGCTGTCCTGTGCCTGGGACATCTTACCTGACACCCACAATTTAAAGGAAGACAGGTTTAATTTGGCTCATGGTCCAGGGGATTCAGTCCATGGTTGGCTACCCCAAGGCAGGAACATCATGGCAGAAGGGTGCTAACTCACCTCATGGTGGCCAGGAAGCAGAGGAGGAACAGTGCCAGAGAGGAAGGGTAAGGAGCAAGGTGCAGACTCCAAGGTCATCCCCCCACACCCACTCAGAAGTGTGTTGTGCCAGTCCCCTGCGTAGATCTCAGATCCCATCTACTCTTTGTGTACAGTGCCATAGTTCGTGAGTGTAGGTAATCTGATGGTGATGCCTTTCAAGGTGAGGATTATGTGCTGGACCTGAAGGTGTTACACCTACTGCTTTTCCGAGCCTGTACTTTCTTGAGGCAATACAAAAGGTCTTGGAACAGTGTATCTTTAAAAATGTTCAGAGGAATTAATGCATTCTTCCATAGGTAGTGCTTACTTACTAAGTATAATACAGGTTCTCTTAGAGCCTAGTAATGTGAGCACACTTTAAAAAAAAAATCCAAGCCCTGAAGCCGACATAGTAGCTGGGCCCTTCCTTTGGTCAGGGTCAGAGCCAGTGGGAGCATCAGTGGGGTGCACGCCGGGATCTTCAGGATTTGTACCTGGCACAGGTGCTCCGGTGCTGAGAGCCAAACAGCTGTGTCTCCTGCCCCTTCGTGCCATGCAGGAGTTGGGTGTTCCAGGTGCAAACCTGGTGCAGAAGGCACCGGGGTGGGTGCAAGGGCCACGGACTATGCTCCCCCTGCCGGGAGACGTCCTGTCCACCTTCGCTCTGCCTCAGCACCACCCATGTCTCTCCTCTGCGCAGGTGCTGAAGTGGGAAGTGGAGCTGATGGCCAAGATGGCGAAGACCATCGACAGCTTCACGCAGAATCAGACGAGGCTGGTGGTCATCATTGACGGCTTGGATGCCTGCGAACAGGACAAAGTGCTGCAGATGCTGGACACGGTGTGTCCCAGGCTTCTTGTGTCACTGACAGAGAGAGCACATGCACCACAGGGTCCCTAGGCAATGTGCTAGGATAGCAATAATGGGGTGGTGGTGGACAGGGTCCAGTGTGCCCATGACTGTGCATGGCCAGGGCAATCTGAGCTGTATGTGGGCTGCGGGGCTGTCCCAGTGGGATGGCGCAGGTCTCTGAGGATTCCTTACAGTCAGATGACGCAGACCTAGACTGAACAGAATGACATCTGATGAAAGATGAGAACTGTCCTAAGATTTTTAGGCCCTGAAGGCTGACCCAGAGTTTGGGGAGATCTCTGTATTTTGGAAAAAGTGTGCATCACGACGCCACACTTGTCCTCGCCAGGTGCGCGTCCTGTTTTCCAAGGGCCCATTCATCGCCATCTTTGCCAGTGACCCACATATCATCATCAAAGCCATCAACCAGAACCTCAGCAGTGTGCTTCGAGACTCCAACATCAATGGCCACGACTACATGCGCAACATTGTGCACCTGCCTGTCTTCCTCAACAGCCGCGGGCTTGGTGGTGCGCGCAGGTTCCTGGTGACCTCTGCGACCAATGGGGACATTGCCTGCTCAGATGCGCCAGGTGAGGGTTGCACATGGGTCAAGAGTTACCCTGGGGCGACTCTGTCATCCTCTGGGAGGGCGCAGCTGGCAGCACCCACAGCAGGGCTGACAGGCTCTTGGGCCACCTCCTTCAGGGCTGCAAGAAGACGCGGATAGGAGAGTCTCGCAGAACAGCCTGGGGGAGCTAACCAAGCTGGGGAGCAGGACGGCCCTCAACCGGCGGGTAGGTGTGCTTCGTGCTGAGGCCCCAGGGAAGACGTGGGTACCAGCGAGCACTGGAGGCTCTGTGAGTGCTGTGGCCTGTGAACTGGGGCACACATGGGTGACCTCAGTCCATGATGTGACATGGGCTCCTGTGGCCCTGGAGTTTGGTTTGGTTTTCTGCCATTCAATTTGGAGGTTTTATTTTTCTAAAAAAGTGTTTTTGGTGACATTTGGATATCTGCCTCTGCCATCTTGAGGTATGGATGCAAAGTTAATGGAATGTGTGACCTCGATGGTGCTGAATTCACAGCAGTGTGGGGCACTCCTGGGAGTCTGGGCTCCAGGCTGTGGAGGTGCCATGCAGAGCCCAGGGTCTGTGTTAGATGGTGGTGCCCCTCGTGTTGGGAGGTGGGGTTCTGGGGCTTTCCCTACCCCAAGCCTGCCATGGGTTCTGCTGGAGGTGTCATGAACTGGCCGATGCTTTAAAATCGGCCAGTGCCTCCTCGCCTTTTACTGTGGGGCCCTGTGGGAGCCTCTATGGCATCAGAGCTTCTCCCAGCGCTGTCCATTCCACTTGGGCTGACACGATGGCTTATGTGGCCATTCTGACCACAGAAGCTTAGTGCCCACTCTGCTCCTACTCAGGACACTTACCGGAGAAGGCAGATGCAGAGAACCATCACCCGGCAGATGTCCTTTGACCTCACGAAGCTGTTGGTCACCGAGGACTGGTTCAGTGACATCAGCCCGCAGACCATGAGGCGGCTGCTCAACATTGTCTCCGTGACAGGTGGCCCCTCCCTGACTGCAGTAGAGGCGCTGTAGCAGCCCTGGGCTTTCAGGAATGGGGTGGGGGGGAGGGGGCAGGTGGGCGTGGTGTGTGTGTGTGTGTGTGTACATTGCCAAGTGCATCTCAGGCCATGAACATCATCAGTTGTACATTATTATAGTAAAGCTTGATGACTTTGTCTTTCACCTCATGTTAGATTTAATTTTTAATTTTCCTCTTATTGGAAAGGGTAGAGCAAGACAAAACATTTGAACTTGAGCCCTGCTCACATTACTTATTCTTTTTTTTTTTTCCTTTTAGTACTGAGGATTGAACCCAGGGTCTGTGTACTAAGTTATATCCTCAGCCTTTATTTTTTATTTTGAGACAGGATTTCACTAAGTTGCATAGGTTAGGTTTGAACTTGGAATTGAACTTCAGGAGTGCTGTGATTAACAGGCTTGTGGCACCATGCTGGGCTTATCCTTTTGAATCTTTTGTTCTCCTGTACTCAGGAATGTGTGTTACCTATTGAGCACTGCTGAGTGGCTATCAGTGTTAGGAAGGTCACACCATAGATGAGTATCATAGTATCATAATTGAGTCTGGGATTTTGGTAGATAAATACTGACAGTTATTGAAGAGTTTTCTATATAAAAGTTGTGCTTTATTTGAAATTTGTTTTATTGGGCTTTTTGGAAGATACAGTTTAAAAATAATCTTAGATACCTTCTTTGGACATTTTGTTGTACTCTTTTTTTAGTATTTTAAAGCAGTTTCTCTGTCTTAGGCAGATCTGGTTGGCCTTGAACTTGTTCTATGGCCCAGGCTGGTCTCATACAGTTAGCAGTTCTGCCTCAGCCTCCCAAGTGCTGGGATTACAGGCGTGGCCCACCATGCCCATGCCTGGCTGTCTTTCTTTTTTTTTTTTTTATCGGTACCGGGGATCGAACTCACAACCGCCTGCTTGCAAGGCAGGTGCTTATGCCACTGAGGTAAATCCCCAGCCCCTGTCTTTCTTTTTATAGGATAGATATATCGTTAAGGTGGAACATTTGTTTTTATTCACTCACGATTTAAAAACGAGAGTTCTTCTGTTGTGTGACGACTGGTTACTCCCTGCCCCAGCTCCACTGTGTTCTTTGTTCTCCCCTTCCCTGGGCTCTGCCCTTGTACGGTTGTGTTGTACTGTACTGTTGCTCAGCTCTGAGGCTCATGAGGACACTGTCCCTCGTGGGCTGTGTGTCTGCCTCCAGCACAGCCCTAACTGCCTAGTCCCTTGCTTGTCTTGTCTTTCTCTGTCTCTCCCAGCCTGATCTTGGTTCTTGTGGTGTGGAGGTTGAGCATCTGTCTCTCATCAATACATAAGGTTCTGCACTTGGGCTTTTTTCTTGCCTTTTCCGTGTGGGGTTGAACCCAGGGCCCCCAGCGAGCCAGGTAGGTGCTCCCCAATGAGCCTGCGCAGCCCCTGCGAGTGAGAGAAGTGCTCAGCTAAGCTGCTGGCCTTGGGCACAGCGCACTTGCCCTCTCCGTGCCACTGCTTTGAGGGCATCACCCAGGCATGGGGAGTAGCTCTGTGTGGTGCCATCGTAACTGCTGTTCCCACTCAGTGCTGCAGGTTCTCCTCACAGGATTCTTTCAGTCTGAAAACTGCAGAAGGCATGTGTTGTGCTTGATTTTAATGTTTTGCTTAAGTACTTAAATTCTGTATTAACCTATTGATGTGCTATTAGAGTAGATTCCTCATGTCTTGTTATAATCTGCCACCCATTCACTTCCTACTTTTTCACCTGGTTTGCTGCCTCTCCCTGAACACCCTGCTGCTTTGGTGCCTGTTCTGTCCCAGCATCAAAACAGAGCCTGTAGGTTTCCTGGCTCTCAGGTGCTTGTGACCTTAGGTCTCGAAGGGTAGAGCCTGAAGACCCAGTCACTCGTTAGCAAGTCAGAGCCCGCTTTCCAAGCAGCAGAATTCAGGGATCACAGTATAGTTTGTGTGTGAGAGAGATTCACTGGGGGATGTGATTCTGGGGATGGGAGAGCTGGATGTGAGCTACATGCCTGATAACAGCAAGGAAAGGGCTCGTTTGGGAAGCCAGACAACTAGGAGTCTGCGATGAGATGCAGACTCAGGTGCTAACAACGAAGAAAGCAGCCGTAGCTGGATGTGGTACCACATGCTTAACTGCTGTGTGGGAGACAGAGGCAGAATGGCAAATTTGAGTTCAGCCTGGGTGACTTTGTGGAGACCCCACTGGTTGTTTCATCTAGATAGATAGACGGATGGATGGATCGATAGATTGGTGGATAGTTGGGTAGGTAGGGCTGCAGGTGTAGCTCAGTGGAAGAGTGCCACTAGAGTCAGTCCTCAAGATCCAAGACAAAATGCAACACACACATACGCCCAAATACAAAAAACAACATCAGCAATTCAGAATCCTTCCTAAATAATAGGTCTGAGAAACAGAAGTCAGGTAGTGGGTTACTTACATAGTTAGCCTGTAACACATAGAAACAGAAGTGTACAGGGTCGTGCACCCAGCTGTACCTAAACAAGAATGGGCCAGTGTGTTAGGCCCCACTGAAGGACCATTTGGATCTTAGTAGGGGCCCACTTAGAAGACGGACTGGCGAGTGACAGTGCAGACCATGTGACACAGTTTGAAATTTTTTGCCTGCTTATGTGTGGGTCTAAATCAGTAGTCAGTCAAACACAAAAAATCACCTGGAACTTAAACAGAATCATATTCAAGTCTTTTTAATCTCTATAACACAGCTCTCGATTGTAGAAATCATATAAACACTAGCTCTGACTTTATAGTATAGTGTATTGGCAGGTTTTTGAAAAGTGCATCTTTTATGGATGGATGCAGTGTTTCCCTTGCCATAATGTTACACGTCCATTAATTTTCAAGTGTTTTTGCTTTCCACAGGGAGGTTACTGAGAGCCAATCAGATTACTTTCAATTGGGACCGGCTAGCAAGCTGGATCAACCTCACTGAGCAGTGGCCATACCGGACCTCCTGGCTCATCCTGTACCTGGAGGAGACCGAAGGTGTTCCCGACCAGATGACCTTGAAAACCATCTACGAGAGGTATACACTGACAGCTTCGGTCCCTCCTGCTGCTGTGTGGCAGCCCCTTAGTGTCCTGTGAACGCTGCTCAGATGAGCATAGTGATGCTTAGTCAGACCCAACTTGGATGGCAGGCAATCCATTGGTGCATAAAGCCTTGTGCTGCTGCCATGGAACCATGCAGTGCTACTATTGATAATGTGATTGCTGTTTCTGTTCTTGGTGTGTAAATGATGCACCAGTGAGAGGTCAGCCTCCACGCAGGGGCCATATAGTGGTAAAAAGGAGGGACATGGTAAGTGGTGGAAGTGATTTGAGGTGGCTCCTCACTTCTGTTGCTGGGGATGGAGCCAGGGCCTCTCACAGCTGGGCAGGTGCTCTGCCCTGAGCCACACCCCAACCTCTCATCTTTCTTTAATGAGGCTGGGGCGATAGGTGATGGAGACCTCACCATTTCTCTTGATTTGTGTATCTGTGCACTCTTGCTTCTCTTGATGGACGTGTTGCAGTTGACTTTTTAGCTAAGAGTCATGCCTTGTGCAGTTGTTCTTTCTGCTTTGTGTGTGCAGGTGCAAGAGCTGGCCAGAGAGACCATCTGGGTTAGGGCCCACTGCAAAGCATGTTACACCTTTACAGAGCTTAGCTACTTTTAAAATTTAAAGTATCTTTCCATTTGTACCTATTCCCAAACTTAAAAATAGTTGCAAGGTTTTTTGTTTTGTCTTGTTTTTTGTCTTTTTTGGTGGGAAGCAAATCTCATTTAAGAAGATGAAGATTGAGTTGGATATGTGACATTTTGATTTGGTTTCTTAAAGGTTTCTCTATCTTTTTAAAAAGATGATTTATTTCAGCATAATTATTGGGATCACCACTCTTTTGAGTTGATCTGGACAGGGACTCGAAGTACTGTTAGTAGGGCAGCCGTCTTACACGGTGTTTCATATAATACCTACCCTTGTACAGCTGATATTTTAGTCTCACACTGTGCTGCGGGGGTGATCATTTTTTTATGCCATAGTGGAACTGGGTAATCTGTTCTTGTCCAAAATACCAAATAAATGTTTCATATTATTTCCAAAAAAAATAAAAAAGGAAGTTGCAAAAGTAAGACTAGTGAGAAACAGCTTTCTACCTGCCTTTGTCCAGCTTGACATCGGAACCGTTTCACTTCTGCTTTCTCACATGTGCACTCTTTCTGTATCTGTGTGAATATATATACAGGCATATAGCTTGCCCAGACTCTGGGAGGCTGATTACCCACAGTGCATGATTCGCTCTCAAACCTTAAATTTTGAGAAACTTGCATTCTGATCAAGAATAAAACACACACATTTAAACAGCTGGAGGACAGCAAAAGTAAGGTAGTTTAAGCAGTTTGACATGTAAGCTTTACCAGTCGCGGGCCAGATTGCTGTTTCCTGGATGGTAGAAAACTTTGTCTATAGGACTGTTCTTTCCTGATAGAAATTTCCTTGTCTTTTTAAATTTTTCATCCTAATTTCTAACATTGAGCCACATGAGAAATTTTCGTAAGTTAACTTTTTTTTTGTGGTGGTGCTAGGGGTTGAAACCAGGAACTTGAGCATGATAGGCCAGTGTTTTATCACTGAACTATGTTTCCAGCCCTTAAAAAAAGTGTGTTTTTAAAATTAATTGAAATGTATTACAGACAAAAGAGACTTTTTTTTGATGCTGGGGATTGAGCTCACAACTCTGTGCTTGCAAGGCAGGTGCTTATGCTGCTGAGGTAAATCCCCAGCCCAGAAAGAGACTTTCTAACATATAGGTTAGTGAGAATAGTAATTACTAGATCTTGCTTGTGAAAAACAGTATTTGTGAAAGAAATGTTTTGAGAGGTATTTTTCATATGTAACGAAAAGTGGAGTGGATTTTTATAAAGGAATATTTTATTTTGTTCAAGTAAATACAGAATAGTCTATGTTAGAGGTGCAGTGATGTCACCTTTGTTTTGTAATTAAAGGAGCCTTGTCGGACTCACTGTGTTTGGGTCACTGGGGCTCACAGTGACATTTTGGAGAAATGCGTGTGTCTTATGTGACTGCAAGAATTTTCAAAGAATATTTGTAGCTAGAACAAAGAAGAAGAAAAAGCAGTGCAGAAAGCAGTGTTTGAGAATTCATAAGGCGTTGACAGAGTAGATAGAATACGATGATTTAACATGAAAAACTGTAGGAGGATGATTTGATTAACATGTTGCAAACCACCTATTGGCAGGCATTTGGATGATTTAGATGATGGTTTCTGGTTAACCATAGTTGAATTCTTTGATGCTTGTCATTTGAATAATAAAAAGTTTTATTTACAGCTGACAAAAAGCATCAGTATATAATTGATATTCATTTATTTTATTAAAGAAATCTGATTTGGTAAAAACAATCAGAAAATAGTATTTTAACGCTAGTAGTAAAATTTATTTTTTTAATCTGTAAAAGGCTTCATTTATTTTTATAGTAATTTGATGACACATCTGCTTGCTTTATTCAGCTGAAAAAGAATGTTGGTTCTCGGTGTTTGGCAAAATTGCTTTGTTAAATTATTTTCTAAATTGTTCAACTTTTAACAAATGACATTTGATACTAACACTGGAAAGCAATTTCAGCTAATTGAGTAGATAGCTCTATAAAGCATGGGAACATTAAGATGACGTACTGTTCATTCAAGATTATTTTAATTGGTACAATTATTGTAATTTTCTTACAATTATGTGTTGAGCTAAAAGCTTTTGTCTAGATCATTTGAGGGTTTTTTGGTTAACATACATTTAGTAAGAAAGGGAGTAAAATAAAAGCTAGCTAAAGATTTTCTGTCTACTTTGTACTAAACAGCATTTTAGACAACCAATGAAATATTTTAGTGTGAAAGTCTATTTCTGCTATTTCAAGCACTTAAAGAATGATGAAAGTTTTTTTGAAGATCAAGTTTCGTAGTTTTCAGTAAGATAATGTTTTAAATTTTCGTTTTGGCACTGTTCAGGCAGTCTCTTACACAGGATCATGAGGTCAGGGTCATTTTGTGTGAGAGAGAATGTACTTCGCTTTGATACTCTCCTAAACAGCTTTCAGAGTGCTTCGAGATGGTGGCCACTCTCCATTCTGCTGCAGCAGCTGTGTGCAGAGCACGCACTGTGGACGTCTGATTTATAACCTTTACAGCTTTCCCTGAGCTCTGCATGCTGCTCTGTGAATGGATGTCCTAGGATGTGTTTGTCCAGCTTGTGCCTAGGGTTTGCTGGGCTGGGTTTGATTTGATTGCTGCCGGTGTCTCGGGCCTCTCACCTGCTCATGGCATCTCGGGCTTCTCCCCTGCTCCTGGTGTCTTGGACCTCTCCCCTTTCTTCCTCTCCTGTGCTCCCATTCGTCTACAGCGCATTCTTGCGCTGAGCGGACTTGTCTCATTGGTATGCAGACATCAAGGAATGGGAACAGCTCTAGAGACTGGATGCCAGTCGGGTTGAGTTTGTGGAGTTGTCTCACCTCTCTTGTAGTAATCCTTGCACTCATTTTCTTCTCTTAGATTTTGAGGTAGCAGAAATTTTTTTTAACATTGTTTCATACATGCTGCTTAGTTGGGAAGCTCACTTTGTTTTGTTTTGTCTTTTTGAGAGAAGTTCGCACTGTGCATTTCAGGCTGGTGTTTGCATTTCAGGCTGGTGTTCAGCTCACTTTGTAGCTTAGTCTGGGCTTAAACTGGTAATGATCCTCCTGCCTCAGCCTCCTGAATGTTGAGATTACAGCTGTGCTCCACCAGCCTGGCATACTTTTTTCAGTTTTTTTTTTTTTGTCTTTTTCCTTTTTATCAGTACCGGGAATCGAACTCACGACTGCCTGCTTGCAAGGCAGGTGCTTATGCTGCTGAGCTAAATCCCCAGCCCCCTTTTTTCAGTTTTTAATTGATAGACCTGTGTGTACTTAAAGCAATGTATCAATGGGATGTTACTGAGATAGGAATTTTCCAAAGCATTGCACTTACCTTGTATATCACAGCATGTTTCTTAGCAACTCCTACAAACCCCAGCTATGCTGCTTTCTTCAGCTCTGACTGTGTCTGGCAACTGCACAGGCTCCGTGTGCATTGCTTCAGCAGCCGGCTCATGGCATCAGGCCCTTCTGCAGCTGGGCTTTTATGTAAACTTTGCACTATTTTTATGTCTGGTTTTTTTGGTAGGTGGCTTTTCAGTAGCTTTCCATAGGATGAAGTTAATTTTTAAAATACGTTTTCAGCCATTAAACTTGTCATATCATTTTCAGCATCTTATGTTAATGTGGGACCCCCCCCCCAAATCTTAATATTTTCAACTTGTATATTTCTAACCTCAACCTGAAAAACTCTGCTGTATTAATGCAACGCTGTTTAGAAACACCAGAGTCAGTTTTTCTAAAACATGTTTTGGAACATAAAAGTATGTTTGGTACATAAAAAAAATCATTACATATGCAAGTTTACAGTTTATTTAGAATACAGACCACCTTGCTTGTTTATATATTTTTATCAAATCTGATTATTGAAAGAGTCAGATTTATCCCCCAAATTAAAGAAGCCTTTAGAGGTCAGTAGTCAATTTTTTTTCTTGAAGTTAATTTTTCAACAAAGATTTGTGATCTTAGACTATCAAATCAGTGTGTTTTAATGTTTTTAAAGATATGAGAAAAAAAGAAAATGAATACAGCAGTGTGTAGCACAGCGCTGGCCAACCGGCAGGCCCCCAAGTGGTCACAGTGCTGGCTTTCTGCAGTGCCCTGGATGCCGAGAGGGGGCAGCGTTTCCCTGGGAGAGATAGTTGGTGTCCTCTGCTGCTGCTTCCCTTTGTATGAAACTAGGGGAGAACGGTTTAAGGCGAGGCTGAATTTCTATTCCTTTCTTTTTTTTTTTTTTAATGATGTTTTTCAACAGTGAGATGAGCAAATGAATTGCTACCTAATCGTGGCATAGTTTGAAGTTGACTGATACCTTATCCTCTAAAGTAAGTCTTCCTTATTGACTTTGTCCTCTTAATCTTCTA